TAAATAAAAAAACTTTAGTATAAGCTTAAATGGTTTTGATTAGAAATAATTGAAATCACATGGAACTGAGTAGTTTGGAACATTTATATCTTTGACACTGTGTGAAGTTTTTTGGTGTAGTTCTGGGAAGAATAGATTAGTGGGGGGCCTCCCCAGTGGCGCAGCGGTTGAGTGCTGGGTTGTAAAGCTACCTGCAGCCTCTGCAGCGCAGGTTCGATCCCCGGCCCCCAGGCGAGGGGGTCCCACATAGCGCGCAGACCTCTCCTGCCCCCTGCAGCTCCCCTCAGCAGTGTACTTCGTCATTCTGCCTGTTCTGCTCTCTGCTCTGGCTCTGGTGAATTCTCTCACCCTCCCGCACTTCTGACTGTACCCAGTGCTTGTATAAATAAATAAATAAATCTTAAAAAAAAAAGAATGGATTAGTGGGTTATGAGTGTGCATACTTAAGGTTCTGTGAAACTATTGTTGGTCCATTGATCTAAAACAAAACAAATTAAATTTGGTTGAATACTTAAAGGCAAAAAAAAGCCTTCGTCTGTGCTAGTGGGTTGATCTAAAGTATCTCAATCAATATTACAATTATACAATACATACAGTTATTTAGAAAACAGACCTTATCCCTACTTTCATTCTCTAAACAGGTTTTTTAAAAATTCAGATTTGTATTAAAAAGTAGAAGATAACTTTAAGAAACCACGCAGCCTGAATCTTTAAATAAAATCTCATTTTCTACGGACAAGACAGACTCCTTCCTGTTTCTGACCACTGGTTAGTCATGGTGAAATTTATTTGACTTTTAAGAATGCCATTAAACTTTAATGTACATATCAGATATCTTAATGTAGAAAAATATGATGCAGTGTTTGTTTTGGCCTTATTTTACCATACAAGGGAATCATTAGTGGAGAATCAAATTGATTCTTGTAAAGCTTTTTTCCGTATCATTTTTTTTTTTTTTCATGTTTCCTTTCTTCATGATGGTCATTCCAACTACCATTGTTTTGTAGTTTTCCAAATTTGGAAATACTTTTGCAGTAAGTGGGTCCTTGCGAACAGTATTACACAGCACTTGCATTCTGTAAAGTTTATGTGTGTTTGCTATCATTTTGTCAAGCTTCATGTAACCTAGAAATAAAGTCAAAATTGTGACTTTTTGAAGTTAATGATTTTTATCGACCAGATGATTTCATTATTACCTGTATTTGGTGGACATCAATTCATTCAGTAAATATTTATTGCAGATTAATTTTGTGTCAGACAGTCTATGTTGTGTATATATTAGTGAACAAGATAGACAAGATTCTTGGCCTAGCTGTGCTTATAATTTTGTGGGTGATAGGGAAAACTAAATTGAGAGTGTGGTGCGTCTCATGGGAACACAAAAGTTGAGGTACTCAGATTTGGGATAGTTTCCTGAAGAAAGAGTAATTTAAAAGTGCATCTAAGAGAACAAGTAGAGTTAGCTAAGCTAACAGAGGGGAGGAGAGAGGTACTTCACCCAGAGGGAACAGCTGTGAAAAACCTTAAGGCGAGAGGTCAATGTTCTTGAATTGGTGGTCTTCAACGAGTGGTTGGCTGTCCCTAAAGGACTTTGGAAATACTTCTCTTAAATATTTTAAAGGTTTCACTTAAGCATTTTAATATATTTTTAGTTGCAAAGCATATATTTTAATCATATTATACATTATATACATGTCTTAAATATATTTCCTTGTTAAATTGAGTATTTTGGACGTGGGATTTTATAGTTTTCATTAAGTTTGAAAAAATTGTCAATTGGAAGTAAGTAGAATGAGTTAATAAAATTTGGTATATTCATAGAGTAGAATGTGATATAGTAGCTATACTTACCAATACAGTGAATCTCAAAATCATAATAATGAAAGAAGACATCATAGATGCATCCTTAACAGTATGGTTCCACCTATTTAAGGTTCTAATATAGGTAAAATGAAGTAATATATATTGCTTAGGTATGTATACATACATAGATAATAAAAGTATGAAGAAAATTAAGGGAATAATTAACACAAAATGCAGGATAATGATTACTTCTAAAAAATGATTATTTGGTTAGTATGGAACTTCTAGAATACTTGGTAATATTTGATTTCTGAAATAAGATTATTGGATACATGGTATTTGTTTGAACATAAAAGTCATACAGTCATTTGTAGGTGTGATATTTATTTTTCAATTTAAAAGTTTGAAAGACCCTTAACCTCATTCAGAATAAGAGGAATACAAATCAAAGTGTATTACATGAAAAGAACCTATATGAAAAATATTTACAAGTTATGTATTTGACAAGGATTCTTACAGTTCAACAAAAAAAAGATAGACATCCCAATTAAAACATAAAGAGCTTGTGGAAGGTTTTCTCCAAAAAAGATATACAAATGGCCTACAAGCATATGTAAAGATGTTCATCATTAGTCATTAGGAAATCAAACCAGAACCACAATGAGATACCACTTCATATCCACTAGGATAGTTTTAGCAAAAAAAAAAAAAAAAAAAAAAAACCCAAAGCAAAACAAAAACACCAAACAAACAAAACAAAAACACACAAGTATCGGTGAGGATATGAAAAAATAGGCACTTTTACACATTGTTGGTGAAATGTAAAGTGGTGCAACTGCCATGGAAAATAGTTTGAAAATTCCTCAAAAAGTTAATATAGAATCCCACTCCTAGGTATATACCCTAGAGAAATGGAAACATGTATCAACATATAATAATTGTATATGAATGAATGTTTGTAGCACAATTATAAGTGCCAAAAGGTGGAATCAATCGAGGTGTCCATTAGTTAATGGATGGCTAAACAAATTTCCCTATTCTTGTATTTACTTACAATGGAATATTATTCAGCTATAAACAGGAACAAACTACTGACACATAATGCAACTTCAAGGAACCTGGAATAGTATGCTCAGTGAAAGTAGCCTCATTAAAAAAAGTCATATTGCACATAGTTCCTTTTATATTATATATCCAGAATAGGTAAATTCATAGATACAGAAAGTAGATTAGTGGTTACCCAGCAGATGGGGAAAGAGGGGAAATGAGGAGTGATTACTTCATTGGTACAAAGTGTTTTTCTGAGGTGACGAAAAGTTTTGACATAAGAGAGGTAGTGGTTGCTCAATGAAATGCCACTGATGGTTGTGTGATGGTTGTGTCCTTTAAATGGCTAATTGTTATGTGAATTCATCTCAGTTTAAAAAATCTATACAGACATCCAGTTTTGGGCTCTCATATTTGTGAAGATACGTAAGTTTGATTACACACTGAGTTGTTGAAAGGGTGAGGACACAGGCACTTTGATCCATTGTGGTGGGAACGCAAATCGGTAACCTTTGTTGATGGTAATATGGCATCATTTGTCAAAATGATAACCATCCTTAACTTTCACTCAGCAACTCCTTTTCTAGACTGTATCCTATAGATATATACCTTAAAAATATGTATTCAAGGTGATTCATTGCAGCAGGCTGATAAATTATGAGCTAGTTATTTGGCTGTATAAAGGAATGAGCAGACTATGTACTTTTATTAGGACATCTCCAAGCCAAATTAAATAAAAAAAATAGAATACAGAAAGTATGCATAGTATAATCCTGATTATGTAAAAGAAGGTGGAAGCTGGGTTTTTTGTTTCTGTATGCAGTGTCTTTTTCTTTTTTCTTTTAAAAGAATATGGAGATAATACACTGGTTACAAGTATATAGAATCTGAATGCCTGTATATATACTTGTTATGTCCATTGGCCAATGCTTTTACCTAGTTGAAATTCATGTTGGATTAATTTTATTGATGAAAAACATAGCACTGCCTTTTATTTGTGGAGTTTTACATTTCATATGATCCTCAAAACAACCCTTTGAGGTGGGCTTTTATTTACATATGTTTTCTGTATTTTTAAATAAAGTATGTAACTTGGGCTAAGTGTTTTAACTTTAAATAATTTTATTCCGTACTTTTACAAGTTGTTCAGTGCTAATGTGGATTTATTGAATATGAAATTAGAGAAGGTTCTCTATTAGATTCTTTTCAGTTCTATATAGATGAATAACTGAATGAATATATTTAGAAGACCAAGGAGCATAGTTGGTTTATGTATTTTAGGTTCTTCTTTTTAATGACAACCTCCCCCCCCCACCAAATTCTTGACTAATTAGGTCTTCATTATATTAAGCTATAGTAATATCAGACCATTAATAATTGATTTTTATTAATGGCAGTGATGTTATAATTGATAACAGTATTATAGGCTTGTTTTCAAACAGTCTAATGGATTTATCAAACAGATCCACTTAGATATAGTAGCAGTTTATTTATTTCCTCATGGTTTTTTGTTTCTTCCTGTTTCTTTGGTTTGTCTGAGTATTAAATTTCACTTAATACAGTGCTTGGTCGTCTTATTTCCAGATTTTGAATCTGAAAATGATGTCAAGGACTTAATTTCTTTTTGCATTATTTATTTATTCACATATTTATTAACATGTTTATTAAGGTAAAGTAGATTTACATTGTTGTATTGGCCTTGGGGATTATAGATTTAAACCTTTGCAAATGTATATTTTGATACCCTGCCCAAAACCAGTGCTCCAATAATCCTCCACCCATGTTCTGTTGGGCCCCTTCTCTCCCCAGTTCTGACCATCCTCTCTGTCTGGTTGACTCAGTCTTTTTATGGCAGTATATATAGAATGAGGACTAAGGAATCAAAGAGATCTAACAACCTAAAGTAAAAGGTCTAAAACATTTTTTCATTGCCAGGAAATAATGAAGACCAAGAACTTAGAGTTGTGCATGAATGAATGAATGAACATGCTATTATGAAAAGTTGAAAACTGTTTCTATTTTAAATTGGTCTTCATTATTTTCCATGTAGGAAAAAATGTGAATTTATATCCTTTTATGTTTTTGTATGTACAGCTGATATTCTTCAGCTTGATTCCACCAGTGAGTTGACTTCATGTTACTCCCCACAGGGTTGAGAATGCTTGCACCAAGCTTGTCCAGGCAGCCCAGATGCTTCAGTCAGACCCTTACTCAGTGCCTGCTCGAGATTACCTAATCGATGGGTCAAGGGGTATCCTCTCCGGCACATCAGACCTACTCCTCACCTTCGATGAGGCTGAGGTAGGCAATCTGAGATCCATACAGCAATCTTTTAGACCAAAATGTCTAGCCTTAAAGACTAATGAGGATTATTGATTATTGAGAATGTGAAAATGTTGAGTAACTCACATATACATTGCCATTTTTTCTACTTATTGTTTACTCTCTTGACTGAATACTCTGAAATATATTTTCAGGTTCGGAAAATTATTCGAGTTTGCAAAGGAATTTTGGAATATCTTACAGTGGCAGAGGTGGTAGAAACTATGGAAGATTTGGTCACTTACACAAAGAATCTTGGACCAGGTTAGTTGTATACAGTTTTTATAATAAAAAATTGTATGCGTTGTCTATGTGTGATTATGAGGAGAGGGGCACTCACCCTTACTTTTTGCAGAAGCTAGGTAATGCTGCATTGGACTTTTACGGGTTCCTGTTAATGGTGCTGATTACTGTTTATACTGAGGAGATATCATTGTCTTTGAAAGCTGAATTTACTTTCTACAAGTCCTGGCCTTGTCTAATGAATTAAACTGGACATTGCAAATATTGCTGGAGAATGTAGGAAATACTTTTCTATTACTGTAATGCTTAACACCACCCAGAATTCTGACCTCTTTATTCCATGTTATACAGCATTCCTTCACTCTCTGCCAGCTGGCCTGTAGCTCTTTATGACCTCTTAGCTTGCTAATTAGCCCGCCTACTATTATGGATTCATGCCCTACCACAAAGCTGCATAATGTCATCAAACCTAGAAGGAGAGAAGCATGCTGTAGCTAAATTTCATTTTGAAATGATTGTTTAGTCATCTGAGAGTTGAGTATTCAAAGTATAGAACATATACCAGCTTTTGATGTTATAGACCTATAACATGGATTTAAATGTCAAAGTATTAATGAGACCAATAATAAGATATATCAGATGTTTAACTTGTCAGTATTAAAGATCACATACCACCTTATAAAATTTTTTTGTCTAACATGAAATAATTTTTACTTGTAAGTATTTTTATGAAGTTCTGGTGCAATCATTATATAAACTTAGGGCAATTAAAAATTTCTAAGAGCCATCATTGAAGATGAATGGGAAATAGGATTAGAAAAGTATTAAACTATTTCCTAGCACTGGATACAAAAATTATTTCCTTAAATGAAATCTTATGGAGAATTCCAACATATAAAAGACAGAAATGGGACTACTCTGGGTGAAGCAAGAGGAGCCCCACTTTTCTACCTACCTTTGATATCTCGTGATGATTTGTGAAACTACTTGCGAAATCTCAAGAGCATTTTGAAAATCAAAGCTTTAGGGGATCACATAGCACCTCTGAATAATAACCAAAGTAAACAAAAAGTGCTAACAAGCTGATTCCAAAACACCAGATGCTTTCAAATGCTGTCATTGCTGTAATCATTTTTTTTATTTCTATTTGTTTCTAATTATAAAAGTACATGCTTATTTTGGACAAATTGGAAAGTACAAAAAAATAAAGATGAAAGCAAAACACATTATTATAATTCTTAAGATTTTTTTCAACTATTAGATCTCTGCCAGGTTCATAGGAGATTCTTTTTTTTAATTATCTTTTTAATTGTGATTACATTGGTTTATACTACTGTGTATGATTTAGGGGTATAGCAATAGTCAGTATCCCAGGTACACAGCATGAAACCTCATGCAGGGTAACAAGGCAAAATATTTAAAAATATATATATTTTTTGCAAATATATATTTTAATTTTTAATATATGTGTGAAGTATTTATCAACTTATAAAAATTATGTCACATTTTAGTTTTTACATTTAAATTTCTGTTAATGAAAAGAATTAAAGATGTTATGAAGAATGGTCCTGAAAAATTTTGTATCATAAATGTTACTGATGGGCAGTCAGTTCAGACGTTCATAATAATTTGTAATGTATTTAGGCTGAGAAAGCTAGACTCTAAATTGTTTCACTACTCATCCTGCATAATTTTTTCCTTAATCCCCAGGAATGACTAAGATGGCCAAAATGATTGATGAGAGACAGCAGGAATTGACGCACCAGGAGCACCGAGTAATGTTGGTAAACTCAATGAATACTGTGAAAGAGTTACTGCCAGTTCTCATTTCAGGTATTTCTTTTACCTGTACTTTATCTTACAGGAAAAAAAAAAACTAACGTTCTAAATTCTGACACTCATTTTCTTTTTCTGCTCAGTTACATGTCCTTCAACTTGGGTGAATATGAGATCTGATTGAGCATTACATGATGGTTGCAACTGATTGGCTAAGAACCAGTATTCATATTTGCTAATGTTCTACTTTTCCTGCTTTTTGTTTGAAACTGCCTGTCCTGTTGCCTACTTCTGTTTTCCTGAAACACTAATAGACTTTTCTCTGTGAGGTGGGATCTCCTCTATAAACTAGGAAATAGACATTTTTACATCCTTTTTGTCTTATGGGAAAAAAATGAGCAGGTGGAATGGAAATATAAAATACCATATGATAAAGCCTTTTGTTGTATTAACTCAGTTTTTCATGAAAGATAATTTAGAGCTGGTGGTCTGCATCAACTAGGTCACCTCCCTGTTTGATAGCTCAGAAATGGAAACATAGAGGCTGCTCTCTCAACTAGCAGAGAGGAGTTGCACTTAATGAGTATCTAGTATTAACAGACATCTCATGGTTTACATAAGTTATCTTTCTAGCCAAGTTTTGGGTCAGTTAGTTTAACTATCAAAGGACAGCTGTATTTCAAAATCCTATGAGTCATATCACTCTACTCCCCCACTACTGCTTTCTGCTTTGGGATTTCACATAGTAGCTAAGAAAGGAGATGTTAGTAGAAGAGTTCTGAAAGCCATCCAACGAAATAGAAAACAAAAATTTGTAAATAGGTTTTATAATTTCTATGAGAAATATGTTTTTGAAGCTAACTATTCTGCGTGGCAGAAAGCTTGCTGAGGTTATTTCTTATTAATCTGAGTAATGCAATAAAATCTTAATCCTTGTTTTGAATTTTTAAATTATTTTATGGCGAAATATTCTCTTTCTCTAATGATTCATACTATTATTTTTTTTCCTTCACTTTTAGGGGTTAGAAAGCTCGTGCTACATGTTGAGGGAAATCCTAAATATAAACTCAAACATTTCACATTCTTTCATTAGGATTGGGGGTAGCAGGATACAAAGTCACGGTTTTACTGACTTTTTTCATCTTGTCTTAATAAGGTTTGTGCTTGATAGGGAAACAGTGTTAGGGTTGAGATAACTGACTTGAAGGATATTGGATATTTTTAGATTGTGGGTCATCAGTATATGGACGCTAAATTAGTTCCCAGGTCATGTTGTGGCGATGTTTTGTACCTTGAGTTTTATTTTACAGTAGATATTGCTGATATTGGAATTCTATTGGCAGACTTGCAGTGTTTGTTTTTATGTTCTTTTTAAGACCTTAAAAAGCCAAAACATGTTCAAAGTGTGGAACATCTTGTGTGAACATTGTTATACAACTAAGCTAAATTCCAAACTTAATTTCTGATCTTTTGTTTATTTTTACAGCTATGAAGATTTTTGTAACAACTAAAAACTCAAAAAACCAAGGAATAGAAGAAGCTTTGAAAAATCGAAATTTTACTGTAGAAAAGATGAGTGCTGAAATTAATGAGATCATTCGTGTATTACAACTTACTTCTTGGGATGAAGATGCCTGGGCCAGCAAAGTAAGTGTTACTGGAAGAGAATATGAGAAATCTTGTATTTTCCCCTGCTTGAGGTTTGATTGTTTCACATTTTATCTTACAATTGTGTGTAGTTAAAGATTGCTCAGATATTAGAAAAATATTTATTTCACTTTTGTTTTATGGGTTACTTGTTTATTCTGCTAATTTCCTTTGATCTAAGGTAGAATAACTAAATAGTATGTAAGGTGAATGTTGGTTTAAGGTGAGATGTGTAGCTTTTCCTTCAGGTTTGAGTTTTATTGATTAGGCTGGTGGAGGAATTATGGCATGGTATAGTCTCCTCTAGGTGGGAGCTCTACCTTTTATGTGGGCAGTTATTAAGTGACTGAGTAAGATACAGAATATAAAATTCAGAATGGGAACGAACTTTATAGAAATGTTTTCCTTAGCTACCCTTTGGCATAGAGAAATGTACAGAGGAAACCTTTAATAATACTAGGTGTATCCCTTCTTGTTCATTTTCCCTAATGAAAATTGAAAAGTTTAATTGAAATATTAGTTTTCACATTTGTCAACTAGTTTGACACCCTTTGTCTTGAATTTCTCCTTGGACTCTGGAAGAGTTGGCTGAATCTTCCTAGCTAGCACCCAGCAGCACTGGTTTTGTGTTGCTGAGGGTTTGGTTTGCTTCTTCCTGTCTAGTAACTGTCTGGGGAAACAGAGCATTTGGATTTATATTCTTCTTGTAGAAGCCTAAGATGCAGGCAGTGGGGGAGCACACTATCTCTAGGATGCAGATTCCCAACTTGTGACCCAAATGTCTCCAGTTCTTCCTAGAACACTGGGTGTAGAATAAAGAGGGGATTTTGTAGTATGACTTCCATTGGGTGCCCAGTAGAGCTATGCTTGTCCTCCAGGACATCTTAAGGTAAAGTCAAAGTTGGTGCTAAAATCACCAGACCTTTTTCTTTAGTTTAAAATCACCAGCCTTGGGACCTCGCTGTTAGCATGGTTAAAGTCTCAGTGCTATCAGGCTGTTGCCAGCCACTGCACCATGAGTTCAATACCTGGCTAGGAATTGAACTAACCCACATGGTGCAGCAGACCTCTCCTGTCTCACCCACTGCTTCCCCTCAGCAGTGTATTTCAGTAGATCTGCCTGTTCTGCTCCCCACTCTGTCTCTGGTGAATCTACTCACCCCCTGCACCTCTGGCCTACACCCCAGTTTGTCTATGCAAAAAATAAATTAAAGTAAATCTTTTAAAAAAGTAAAATCACCAGCCTTCTCTCTTATTGCATGAAAACTGAATCTACATAAACAAAAGAAATTAGTCAGCTGATCTTAGCTATGGATTTACAGAGGCACAAAGTTCTTGAACAAGTTCTCAGACTGTATTTTAAATCTATATGGTAAGAACATTTTAGGTCTTTGATATTTTACTTAATTTTGCTTTTGCTTATTTGACAATTCACTTTCCTATTATGACTTCTTTATGCATTTTTTTTGTTCTCTTGTTTGTTTTATTCTTTTTCTCACGTTTAGAAGGTAAGCTTTCTCTTGCCCTTTAGCTTCTTTGCTTAAAAAGAGAAAAAGCATGTCTGTGAGGTTTTCTTGTGTTGTGTGCCATGCCTTATTCTGTGTGCAGGTGTGTAACACTGTGCTCGAATATACGTTAGAATGTGAATATGGAACTCTGGGGCTGGGCTGGGAAGACTGTTGGATTCTGGCTCATGTTGAGCTGTTTGTTTGGGATAAGCAGAAAAAAAGACATTATGGGATGTCAGGCTTTCTCACTTTGAGTCATCTCTTTAAGTCAGCTTCTGAGAACTGTTTTGGCCTAGTCGTTCCCACTGATTTCATTTGAGGGACAGTTTCCCCAGGTGGCAGAGGGATCTCTAAGTTACCTGTGGACCCTGTTCTCATGCAAGGAAATTTCTAGTGAATGCTGTCTTTGTAGTTGCCTTTTCTACCAATTTCCTTTACAGGTTTTAGAATTTTTTGGGGGGAGGTATATCATTGAGGTTTTAAGTCATAATGAAAATGGGTAGGTTAGAAAGTTAAACAGGGCACCTGTCCTTCATAATAATGTTGGCCTTCATAATCAAAGGGAAAAAACTAAGCCATTTCTAAAGTTTTTCCTGCGTCAATCCATGGCTCATTGCATGTTCTTCTGCTATCTAAACTGTCAGCCTTAATTTTCCTTGATCTCATGTTCCCTAACCTAATCCCATTCCTATTCTCTCTCCTTTCCTTCTAGTAGACAAGTAGTAAAAGTAGTAGTATTAAGGAGGATTGCGAGTTGCAACCTTAATGTTTCTCTATTTTCAGAGGGGAAAAGTCACTCGTCACTTAATTATTACTGAATAAGTGTTACTGAACTTTGTATAAGTGCCATAGAAAGCTGTTGCTTAAAAAATGTGGCTAGTTGAGATTTTCTGAACAAGTATCAGGCACTAGTGGAGGAGGGGATACACAGGGAAATAGATCTGGTCCCCACTGTGTACAGTCTTGTAGCTATCTTGGTTTGATGCTGATCTGGAAGGAACCAGACTGTCAGGATGCTACAAAAATATCAGAATAAAAGAAAGTAAATAAAATTATTCCAGCCAAAAGAAGCTCAAGTACACAATGACATCAGAATGAGCAAAAAAATACTTGTTTTTTAACCCAAATTTGATTTTGTTTTATACATTTACCTGGATTAAATAACAAAATGCTATAAAAAGATACACATGACAAATCTCATTCCCAACCTTGTCCCTATCCATTTTCTCTTCCCTTGCTTCCTAAGAGTAGTAATCATGTTTATTAGGTGCAAGAATATTTAGAAAAAACAAATTATCTTGAAAATGGAACTAGGTAGCTAGAATTTTGGTTAGTTTTCAGTTTCGTATAGCATTCTGCATCTTTCATTACTCAACTGTATGCAGTGAATTAATCAGACTTTGTTTCTGCCTGTGACCAACATTCTATTTAATACATATGGCAGCTTTCACCTCCTCTTTCCCCTACCAACAAAGATTAACTTTGTCTAACCATACTTGTTTCATGCTTCCCCACTGGTGCAGTTTTCTCCTGGAAAGTGATGGTTCCTCTAGAAAAGTTGGGGAAGAAAGTAAGTGAAAAAAATTCTTGGTAAAAATGCATCTTGCCATGTAAGTTAAAATTTTAAAGAGGCAATGCAGTAATGATTATTTTATCTTTTATACCTACAAATTGCAGATTTATAAATTGAAATCTACTTTAACTTTGAACACTTCACTTTATTTTGAAAACAGAAATTTCCTCCTCCTGAAATCAGCAGTCAGTGATTATTAAAAATGAATCTAGCATTTTCCTGGGACTGCATTATGCAACAAAAGAATTGATGAGTTAAACACAATTCTAATTCTACCCTTTGTAAATTTAGAATCTGTAATTTTTTTTTTGTATTTATATTACTTGTTATCTGTATACATACTGAGAACTAAGAGGAAGTGAGAAAAACTTAAAAAGCATTTCATGGTAAGAAACTTTGAACCCTGTATAAGCACTCCAAAAAGTGCACCTTGAGTCCGTTAGATACTATTTTTCAGAATTGGTTCCTGTTGTGGGTCTTCTCCCACTGTGGGCTTTAGCTGATGATGAGTAAGTGTAGTGACTGACTCAGAGGTTACTGTACTTTACCAAAGAAGGAAATATTGTTGAGAACATGAAATCCTTTAACACTTGCCTTTAATTTGCAAACCACTGAGATTTAAGGGTTGATTTTAATTTCAATCCTTTTGAAAAACAAGGTAGAGTATTTTATTTCAGTAGCTAATACCATGAAAGATTTATCTCTTGGAGTTTAAGATAGTTAATTCTAAGCATTTATGATATTTTGTCTCTAACCCTCCTCCCTCCAAAAAAAAAAAAGAGGGAGAGATAACCCCAAAATGTTAAAGAAGCTGATGTTTCCCTGGTAATTTTTAGTTGGTATATCTGCTTGTGCCCTTAGAGGTGGTATAGAATTTAGAGCTGGAAATGTATTCTTGGAGTTGAGGAACAGAGCTCCAGGGGAGGATAACTTCCCTGAAGTCTCAGGGTGAGACGACAGTTTCTCATTGCTTGAATGTAGTTTGTGAGAGTTTGTTCTACTGCCCAATCCATCTTTGTTTAAAACATTGATTTGGGGGAGGAAACGTGGTCAGGAATGAAATGGACTGGCAAGGATGGGAAAGGGAGGTATTAGTGGTAAAAGGAAGGTAGGTTGGGCAGTGAACAAGAGGGTCCTTATTCCTATATTTTTCAAATTATAATTTGAAAATTATAATTTTCAAAAGCCTGGGATTTCAAGACCTCACGTTTTCAGCTGCAGTTACCCTTGATTGTTTGTAGGAGGGACTCAATGGTTCTCAGTATGATTCAGTAGTCTCTAAGTCTAACTCTGTTAAATTTCAGGAGTGTTTCAGTTCTTAGGAAAGTATTTAAAATAACTTCTTTTAAGTTATCCTTTCACCTTTTGGTATCTTGGGGAGTCTGCCAAGGCACTGTGCTTTGTTTTTTTTCCCCCTGGTCATTTAAAACCTGAGTTTTATGGTAAAAGGGACCCAAAAGGGAGGGAACCAGATCCTTGCCTACTATCCCCAAAGCTTAATTAGTGGACTGGTCTTTTTCATGTCCACTAAAAAAAAAAAAAAAAGGTAAAGAACAAAAACACCCAGTGGATAGATTGATAGAGACTTCTCTCTTTCCCAAATGTGAGATTTTATAAAGATTAGTACTGAAATGACGGTACAGTTTTTCTGTCTTTCGTACTTAGATTGTATTCTGGGTACTTAAGATTTATATGCCGAGGTTTAACTAGAGGTTTTGTGATAGTGTGATTGACCACAGGGATTATGATTATGATTATTTTAAAATATAAAATGTGTTTGTTATAAATATATCTCAAAATTGACTTCTGGTTCTAGTTGTTCAGAGACTTTGTTTATGTAATATTCATTGTTAATATATGTGTATGTATGTTGCTCATGACAGAGTGAGCAAAGAAATCCTTCCAAAGAAATATGTATGAGAGTCTCAGGAAACCAAAATACTCGTTCCCATAGATATTTTTGTTTTTAATAAATATGACATTAAAATGTATTTTAATGATAGTTACAACTTGTCCTACTTCCAGAAAGAATTTAAAACAGCCCATTCATTTACCATTTTCAATTTTCAAATTTGTCTAAAATTCATCATCCCTTACCATCAGGAAAATGCATTTCAAAGACACAGTGAGATATTACCTCCCTCCCACAAGGATGGCCCACATCAGAAAACGCCAATAACAAAAAGTATTGGTGAGGTATAAAAGGAACCCTCATACACTGTTGATGGGAATGTAGACTGGTCCAATCCCTGTGGAAAACAGTATAGAGGTTCCTTAAAATATTAAAAATGGATTTGTCAAATGATTGAGCAAGTCTCCTTCATGATATTTATGCAAAGAATACAAAAACACTTATTTGAGGATATATTCACTCCTATGTTCATTGCAGCAATACTTAAGATAGTCAAGTTATGAAACAACCCAAGTGCTCACCCACAGAGCAGTGGACTAAGATGTGGTGTATATACACACGATAGTGTGTATATATATATATATATATATATATATATATATATATATATACACACACACACTATTTAGCTATAAAAAGAGAAGAAATCCTGCCATTTGTAACAACATGGATGAAACTGGAGGGCATTATGCTAAGCTGTTATTATGCTAAGTTGCTAAATGAGATAAGTCAGAAGGAGAAAGAAAAATACTGGATGATTTCACTGAAAACAAAGAAGCAGACAAAACTTAACCAAAACAAACCCTAGAAATACAGTTGCTGAACTGAGGCTACTAGAGGAGTGTGGGGGTGGGGAAAAAAGTGGGGAGAGGACCCAATGGTTTATGGTGAAATAGGACTGTGGATGTTTTGGTGGTGGGTATGGTGTAGTAACATACATCTGAAGAAGTATGACTGTATTCCCCTAAATCATATACAGTATTACAAACCGTTGTTACCTCAATTAAAAAACCACTAAAACTCACACTATTAAGAACTTTTGCAACTAATTGAATTTCCCAGTTGAAAAATGCAGCTGCATTCCATATTTGCCATTGATTCTTCCTAGTAGAAAACGAGCACCTCCCATTTATGAGTAAATTATTCACTACTTGAGAATTTGATTCTTTTCATGAAATGTGATGGACATTCAAACTTTGTTAAGAATTTCAAAAGCAGGGCCTCCCCTGTTGGCGCAGGTGGTTGAGCACAGCGCTGTGAAGCTGTCTGCAGCCTCTGCAGTGCTGATTTGATCCCGGCCGGTGGGTCCCACATGGCGCAGCAGACATCTCCTGTTGCGCCCACTGCTCCCCTCAGCAGTGTATTTTGTCGGTCTGCTTGTTCTGTTCCCCGCTCTGTCTCTGGTGAATCCTCTTACCCTCCTGCGCATCTGGCCTATACCCCGGTTCTTGTATAAATAAATAAATAAATCTTTAAAAAGAAAAAGAATTTAAAAAGCAGTGATTTTTGAGGATACTGAATGGGACAAATCCTGTTTTTCTATTGTGTCTTACATCATTTTGGGGCAGTGAAGAATAAAAGCAGCCATTTAGGTTAATGTGGGTCATGAAATTTGATTTCTAGAGCTTATTTTCTGGGGAGTATTACCCAAAGCCAAAATCAACAAGGCAGAAATTTGCTGATTTATTATAGAAAGTTAGTGGAATCTTTAGCAACTCTCTTTGGTAAAAGAAAACAACTTGAGATTAATCAAATATAAAGTAATAGGTTTGGTGTCAACAAATCTAAGATCAAAATGTGTTTCTAGCACTGAACCCCTGTTTCTTAATTCATAAAATTAAATTAGATTTAAATTTGAGGTCAAGTGAAATAGGGGGAAAATGTAGGAAATGGTCAAAGTTTCCTAAATAGTAGCCTTTAGTGCTAAAAAATCTGTGATTCTTGTTTCTCCTTGAATTTAGATTTTTGAAATATAGTCAATATCAGTTTTTTCACTGAAAATATGTTAGAGAAATGGTTATTAATATATTTAAAACAAAGTATTTTTACAAGGATATAATTTCTCTTCAGAGTGTATTCATACTCCCTTGGTCAGTTTGTGAATTAAAAACTAACATCAGTACCTAGATAAAGTCCTATAACTTGTGGTAGAAGCTAAAGGCTATCTAACTCTCTTAGGTTAGGAGTTGCCTGAGACTCTTTTAAAAAAGATACTGATTTGGAATTATAGGTCAAAGTTGACTTGTGTATTATTTTTGAAGGTAAGGTTTTTTGTCCAGATGAATGTAGAAGAAGATGGAGGAGGAGCAGATAGTTAAACCATTTGAGTTTGAGAATCAAAACACTTAAAAAATACTACTTGTCTACTTGTACTACTTACAATTAGATTTTGAAATAGAGCTGCCTGTGACTCTGCTTTTTATTGATAGGTATCATAATTTCATATAGCTTGATAATACAAATATTTTATTTCCTTTTTTTCCAATAATTTAGTTTATTTCTCTTTAAATGCAGGGGCTTAGAATTTGCATTTGGAGCAGTGCAGAGCCAAGGTTACAACAGAACATTCTGTATCTGTTTAAATATTAGAGAATCCTAAAGCTGAGAGTGCTATAATTTGAAAAGGTACTTTAGAAAAACTGGGATCAGGTTGCTGACATTCGGTCTTACTGTGAGTGATCCCAGCTGCCTTGTGATTATGCTGGGTCTTTTTTAGTTGGATATGAGGGTGAGGGGTGGAGGGAGGGATGCTCCTGGTGCCCCCATGTGGAAGCGTGGTGGTATAACACCTTTAAATCCCCTGGTTCGCAGGACTGGAAATTGAAAAAAGTTAGGGATTTAGAATATTGCCTAGAATTTCAGAGGCTTACTCTGTGTTTTAATGGACAGACTCTGTAAGACTTAGTTTCCTAGAGGGCCTCCCTGGTGGCATAAGGGGTTAAGTCTCAGCATTATGAAGCTATCTAAAGCCACTGCAGCACAAGTTCAGTCCTGGCCAGCCAGGGAGCTAACCCACATGGCACAGCAGACCTCTCCTGTTTCACCAGCCACTCCCTTCAGCAGTATATTTCAGTAGATCTGCCTGTTCTGCTCCTGACTCTGTGTCTGGTGAATCCTCTCACTGCCCCTCTGCATGTCTAGCCTACACCCCACCTCTTGTATGCATAAATCAATAAAATAAAAATCTTTAAAAAAAAAAGTTTCCTAGAGTCAAAGAGGGTTAGATCATCTTCAAGGTATTAAATAGAGACTTAAGAGATGGCCATTCTGTCAGCTATGAGGATGGATCCATGGGTTTGGTTATATTCTGTGCTTTTCTATTTCTAGATATGTGCAATTTAAAAATTTAGTTTGTTGTTCCAGCCTCTCTTTCTATAACTTGGGAAATTTTATCCTAGTTTTACAATTTTATCTTACTTCTTCCGGAAGAGAGATAGTAAAGGAATTAAAGATGAAGAATGGCACGAAGGCCAGAAAAACATATATTACATTTTAGTGATTTATGTGCAGAATTAAAACTGAATTGCTAGATTAACATTTTCAATTTTTGTTCAGCCAGTAATTTCAAGTTTTTCAGATGAATTGTAATGAAACATCACCCAGTGTATTGCAAAATAAGATGTAAAAACCTGTGATTTGTGTTACCACATGCTAATGAGTCTTCCCTGAAGCCTGGAGAACTTTGGCAGGGCTTCAGTAGATGAATGTTTACTAGTAGAAAGGCTGATAATGAGGCATGTGACAACAGGGCTTTTTCCTGCTGAAGACACTAAAATCTTTTGGCTTGAGTGGTTTTACCATTCTTCACAGTTTAGCAATAGGGAAACCAGGAAAAAGAATGGAATTAACTGAAGATTTGCATGAGATGCTGCATTTTGACAGAAATAAGCATTATAGTGTGATGAGATTATTTTTTAAGGCTCTCACAGGACTACTTTAGCAATTGTATGCTAATGCTGTAACTTTTCTGTCTTAGTTTGTATATGGTATCTCAGTTTTTGCAAAGAAAATAAATGTGGTATTTCTCTTCAAAAGGATACCGAAGCCATGAAGAGAGCATTGGCGTCCATAGACTCTAAATTGAACCAGGCCAAAGGTTGGCTCCGTGACCCCAATGCCACTCCAGGTAACCCCCTCTGATTCTACTTATAGATCTAACAAAAAGCTTAAAAAAGCAAAAACAAAACAGGGCCTTCCCGGTGGTGAAAGGGGTTAAGTATCAACACTATGAGGCTATCCACAGCCACTGTGAGGTTGATTCCTGGCCAGGGAGGTGACCCACATGGCGCAGCAGACCTCTCCTGTTTCACCTGCTGCTCCCCTCAGCAGTGTATTTCAGTAGCTCGGCCTGTTCTGCTCCTCACTCTGTCTATGGTGAATCCTCTTACTCCCCTGCACCTCTCGCCTGAACCCCAGGTCTTGGATACGTAAATAAATAAATCTTTAAAAAAAAAAAAAAAAACCCAAGCAAAAGAAAGAAATATTTGCATTATCTTTTAATCCTGAGATAACTATGGCGACATTTAGGGATATAGCCTATTCTCTAATAAAATTTTAACTAATTGAAGCATTAAAGGTCCTTAAAAAGTTGAAGGTATAGGTCATTAACCTCTCATCATGGAGTAATAAACAATGCTGAACTGAGCATTCTTTGCCCAATTATTGTTTGACCCCTTCCTTGGTAGTTATTTTGAACAAAAGCTCTTCTCTTTTAGTTCCCGTTGGATAGATTTCATTTTTGTCAGCAGAGTGCTTAATTAAGCAGATTAAATGATGATGCCAATAAGAATTATAAAGTAGACTTATATAAAGATAAGACCCAAATAGGTTAAGGAGGTAGGGTTTATGGATTTTCAAATCTAATATTTACTCAGTTTTGCTTAGCCTAGTAAAAGTTAGAGGTGCTAAGTAACTGTAAAATTGTTGGAACCTATTTTCATCATCCATTTTCATACCTCAAGCTGCTTATTATCTCCAGATGGGTCCTAATATCTTTTTTAGCAATATCTGTGGTTGAAACCTCACCCCATGGTTGTAAGGGCACTCCTTGATCGTTGGCTCTCAGGTATATTGCCTTCTATTCACTTGTTGTTTAGAGTCATCCATTCCTTCGTGAATGAAATGATTTGTAAAGCATCCTCTCTAAATAATTAATGTATGAACACTGAAGATATTGAGTATCTTTTTATTTTAGGGGATGCTGGTGAGCAGGCCATCAGGCAGATATTAGATGAAGCAGGAAAAGTTGGTGAACTCTGTGCAGGCAAAGAACGCAGGGAGATCCTGGGAACCTGCAAAATGCTGGGGCAGATGACTGATCAAGTGGCTGACCTGCGAGCCAGGTAAAGTTCCTCTCCTCTTACCAGAGCATTAATAAGTAACAAAAACATAGGCTTTCATTCCTGATGAAGTGATCCAGAAAGCAAGTCTCTGCTGATTTTACTGAGTTCTCTTTGGCTAATAGATAGTATAAATATTATGTTCTATTAGTTCTTTTGAGGTTGAAATAAACTTTCCTTTTGCTGAACTTTCAAAATATGTAGATGCATTATAATACAGTTGAAGAAGAATATATATATATATATTTTTAGTTTCTAGCCATAGGCTTATGAAAAGTAAGGGGTAGTGTATAGATATCTTTTATGAAGTATGGGTAGAAAATAGCAAAGAGTGAAAACATTGGAATTATTTCACATCATTGAAAAGATGAATTAAATAGTTATCCTCTAAGTTGGACATCTTTTGAGCTTTTATTACGTCATTATTCTTTCTGTTTCATATCTTTTTTTCACCTACTTTCAATTTTGACTTTTAGACTTTCCTCCCTTTCATTAAATACATATAGTTTGATATTTAGAAAATTTAATACAATATAAGTATCTTTGGAAATCATCCACCGAGTTAATGAAATTCTAAGTGATCCCCATTTTTATGGAATCTTATAGTATGGATATTAAACAAAATTGATGTATGATGAGACACTAGTGTAGATGAAGTTTAACTTTGCTTTGAGAATGTCTTGAAACATCTTGATGTAATTGCAGTATAGAGCATCTCCATACAAATAGCCTGAGTAACACTCCTTGATGTGTTGCCCACCATTATACCTGGCCTCAAATGGATTAACATAATAGATTTAAGTTCTTAGATTGCAGTTCTTAAAGTAGTGGCCCTTAGCCTTTTTTGGGGATAGGTTACTTTTGTAATCTGATAAAAATCTAAAAAGATGCATATAAACTTGCCCTAGCCCTGGAAGCACCAGAGGCTTCAGGTTAAGAGTCTCTTCCTTGAAGGGGAGAAGTAGCAACTTAAATAAATGTGATCCTATTGAGCTCAGTGAGCCTATTTCTCCTGCTGTGAAGCAGTCTCCCCCATCCTGAGCATGACAAGAACTTTAGAGAAAGGACAAAAAGAAGTTCTGTTCCCGTTGGGAGAAATGCCAGTGCAGTTTGACAAGATTCTTGGCTCTCCTAATTTCTCACTGCTGGCCCTTTTGTCCGCAGCCTTTTCACAGTGTGGTAGACAGTTTTCACTTGGAATTCTCAAATACACAGTTGTATGTGTTTAGAGAAAGATGAATTTGAGCAAGAGAATGAGGTAGTTGCTGTATGGGAGCCACCATTAATCTATAAAGAGAAAAGAACTATAGTGAACAACTATGGACCTGTTTCACAGTAGGGCCTTTCACAGTGAAAGATGAGAAAGCTATTTAATCTAGAGGATAAAAAGCTATCTCCCTGTTTATCCTTTCTTAAATATGCCCAACTCTTTAACATTTTAGTTGCTGAAACTAAATTACTATTTCCTCATTGATAGTCTTCTGTTCAATTACCTAGGATTTCTAGGTTGCAAGTATATATTACCCACCCATCCCCCACTATGAGACTCAATAAACTTTTAATGAAAAATTATGCAGTCCATTAATATTTTTATTTTTTCACAGTTTGACTCATCATTTACTAGATTTGAAGAAAAAAAGCAAAATAAAATATAAACAGTATGCTTTTCTTTTTCTTTTTTTTTTAAATAATAAATTTTATTTTTATATTCCCCCATACAACAGTATGCTTTTCTACAAGTCCTTCACTCCTCTGCAATGTAACAGGAAAGCCTCAAGTTCAAGTAACAGAGTATCAATGAATAAATGACAGATTCATACTATTATGAAGAAAAGCAAAGATATTTTGGAATTCATCCTAAAATCAGAAGGATGACCAGCCATGTGATCCTACCAAATGATAAAATTGTCACTCCTGTAACTGTGTTTATCAGGTTGCCTGGAATAGAAAATCTGAGTTTATTAAAGAAAGTAACAGATCTTATTTTGTTATGACTTAGAAAGTCACAAAAGGAAAATAAGTTTCTATTAAATTTCTTACAGTAGTAGCATTCCACTTCTAAGAGCGGAAAATAGAGAAATTAGTTCTTTAGGAACTTGATGGGAAACAATGGTTTCCTGTCACCATTTGTTTTTTATTTCCCTCAGTATTAACTGGTTTTGATATTTATAGATTGCATATGAGTGGATGCTACTCATTTAAGATTATCATTAAGTTTATCATAAAATAATAATAACAATCATAATAATAATTCAATAATAATAGTAGTTATGTAGGTGGACTGCTTTATTGCCAATGAGTTTTCAAGTACATCCTTCTACTTCAAGCCACACTGTTCAGTAAATAGGGCACGTATTGTTACCTGCCCATCCTGCATTTTGTAAATTAGAAAACTGAAACCCAAGGAAGCCAAACGTAGTAAACGGTTGCACAGATCCCAGGAGCCTGAATTGGAACACAGATCTGCTTAGTGTCAGTGTGGTATGCTTTTAATAATACTTTGTGTGCTGCCTCCTGCAACATTTCCAATGTATGTTTGCCTATAAATAAGACAGTCTGATGGGCTGATTATTTCTAAAGTACACATTATTATGATAACAGAACTCTCACAACATATTTCCCTTCTGAAGTTTAGATTTTTTTAATGTAATTATCGCCAAGAAGAAAATCATTATTATTAAAATTTGCAGGCATAGATTAAAGTGGTTATGTGATTCCATAAAGGCAATGTGTATTTTTAAAGTAAAGGAGGAAGTAGATGGTTTGTGTGTTTTGCTTTGTTTTCCTGTTTTCTTGTGCTATCCAAGATTTACCTGGGAAAAGGAAAAAGACAAACACGTAACAAAAACAATTTATTTGCACTTTTAAGTATTAAGTATGAGGAATACAATGACACATCTGTCTGTTTTGTGTAGAGGACAAGGAGCCTCACCCATGGCCATGCAGAAAGCCCAGCAGGTATCTCAGGGGCTGGATGTGCTCACAGCAAAAGTGGAAAATGCTGCCCGGAAGCTGGAAGCCATGACAAACTCAAAGCAGAGTATTGCGAAGAAGATTGATGCTGCTCAGGTAGTAATAGTGATTTCCATGAGGGAAGGGAGATAAAAGAGAAAGAGAAATGGTCCATAAATAAATAAATATTTTCTGCCCTACCCCCTTTTTCCCCTGTCTTCCTTCTACCCTTCCTTCCTCTCATTCACTGTAGGTGGATAACCAGTGTTCTAAATCATGATCTATTCCCAGCAGTTACCATTGTTAACCTTCCCTCCCACCACAGATTTAGACTAATGTTTATCTATATTTTGAATACCTTATTTTGAATACTTCAGTTACTTGAAAGTCAGTACTCTTGAGTACCAAGAGAATCCTAGTTCCTGATATTGATAATAGTTTATCAAAACTGTTCTTCAACTTGAATTGTCAACTTTATTTGGTTATAGCAATGTTAGAGGGTTGAAGTTTTCTGATACTACTCTACTATAACATTATTTTCAAGCATTTCATAAAGAAGCAAATGTTTTAGAAACTGAAGAGTTAAAAAGGTATGATTTATTAAAAAATGAGATAAGGGCCTCCCCAGTGGCACAGTGGTTGAGCGCTGGGTTGCGAAGCTGCCCTCAGCATCTGCAGCGCCGGTTCTATCCCCGGCTGATCACCGGCCCCTGGAGGCGGGTCCCACATGGCGTGCCGCCCTCAGCAGTGTACTTCGGTCCTTCTGCCTGCTCTGCTCCCCCCTCTGGCTTTGGTGAATTCTCTCACCCTCCCTAGCTTCTGACTGTACCCAGTGCTTGTATAAATAAATCTTAAACAAAAAAAACCAAAAAAAAAAAAAAAAAAAAAGGAATGAAATTTGTGATACTGTATTCTAATGGGGATAAAAAAATTTATTTTTAAAAAGATGAGGGATTGATTTGATTTTACCTGAACTAAGAATCTAAGTGAAACAGTAAGGATCAGCATTATAAAAATCAATTACTGGTGTGCCTTATGGTTGCTTTTGAAATATTTCTGGTGGCCTTGTTAAGTTAATAACATGTGGTTCATGAGTACATCACAGCGTGCTTCTTTGCAATTTATATGTATGTAGAATTGGCTTGCAGACCCAAATGGTGGACCAGAAGGAGAAGAACAGATTCGAGGGGCTTTGGCTGAAGCTCGGAAAATAGCAGAATTATGTGAGGATCCTAAAGAGAGAGATGACATTCTGCGTTCTCTTGGAGAAATATCTGCTTTGACTAATAAATTAGCAGACCTACGAAGACAGTATGTATTTAATCCCTCAAATTTAATCTCTCTTTCTTCCCCTAAATTCCATATAAATGCATGTATGATGCTCTTTCATTGTATTTTCATTGATTTTGTGTAACATGGCTAGGTCAGCTATCACTGTTCTGCCATTAACATAACTGAAGTTTAATGACTTATTACTAGCCACATAATTTTTAGTTGATAAATTTGACATTGCTAAACCTTCTTTTTTGAGATTTATGTTTTTAATTTCTAAGCTAGGACTTTCCCTGCTATATCATGTTTAGGGTATATCTTTTATGACATATCTGTGTTCCAGGCATATGACCGATAATGATAATCAAGTGTTCCAGGCATACAAGGAAAATGCTTGTTTGGTTAACTATAGAAAAGGAGTGTGGTAGGGGGTGTGGTGGTGGGTTCGGTGGGTTGAAGCATAAGAAGATGGCTTTATCCTTGCTCAGCAATGTTATTTCTAAATTAGCAATTATAAAAATCCTAAGTACAATATCCTCACCATAGCTTCTCTTCATGGCATTTACTTTGACTACATGGAAAAGAGTCACAGCTTTCTTTTCTAAATAGATTTTTCTCTTAGTAAACACTGCAGCCCATGCTTAAAGAGCATTAAGAAACTTTACAAGGGGGCCTCCCTGGTGGCACAGGGGTTTAAGTCTCAGTGCTATCAAGCTATTGCCAGCCACTGGGGCATGAGCTTGATCCCCTGCCAGGGAGCTAACCAACAGGCACAGCAGACCTCTCCTGTCTCACCCGCTGCTCCCGGCAGCAGTGTATTTCGGTAGTCCACCTGTTCTGCTCCCCACTTTGTCTCTGGTGAATCCTCTCACCTTCCTGCACCTCTGACTTATACCCCAGTTCTTATATGCATAAATAAATAAAAATAATTTTTTTTTTTAAAGAAAAGTTACAATGCCAAAACTGAAAGTTGCTTTTTCTTCATTTCAGTTCTGTACCCACTTCTCCAGGGATAACCATAATCAAGTAGCTTATAAAATCCAACTCTTCATTTAACTTGTATATTTCACTTCCTGTTCTTCTGTGGGAACATGCCTAGTCTTTTTCCAATGAGAGATAATTTAGAATTCCAAGCTTAATTATTTAGGAATCACTGTTTTATGCCCCAAATCTCAAGTAATTTAGGGAGGGAAAACATATAATCTGACAATTGCAAAATATGTCTGTGCAGTTAGGTGAATGTTCGTTAATATAAGCTCATTAATATCACCTATTTACATTCTTATTAGATTTTAAAATACTCGAAGGCAGAGACTTTTGTATTCTCAGGACACTAATACAGTATATTTACATTAGCAAGTACTTGTTTTTTCATAATGAGGGACTTGATGGTAAGAGTGATAATAATAGATGTTCATGTGTAGTCATTCACACCATTACTAATTACTGTAATGTATCTACATCCATATACTCAACCTCCTGGCATCAGGATTAACCATGAGCAAACCTTGGAAAATACTTTTTGTCCAACTTTACAATGGAGAAAATCTAGAAATTTATAATCATAAAGGAGTTTTAAAGGAGCATCTAAATTAGTCATCCTGGCAGATAGAATAATATTTTCATTTTTACAGGTGAGATAGGTGAGATTAACCTAAAGTTTAATTTTCTGTGACTAAGGAGACTGATACATAAAATGGCTCTGACTCTATATGTTCATAATGGTTAGAATCTGAGGTCTTTGAAATAAGGTTTGGGGGCGGTTATCTCCATTTGTGATATAATTGTGGTTGTCTCTACTTCTGTGTTGATGTTCTTGTTGAAGTTTTTTGGTTGCAAGGAACTAATGCAAGTAAAAAAAAGGAGAGGTTTATTGAAAATAAATGGAGACATCTAATCGAACCTGTCAGCTTAAAATATGGACAGATCTTATGACAGCTGAAAACCGCTCTTTCTGTCTTCTCTCTCTTCTATGCCTGTTTCACTCTGTGTGTTGACTTTGGTAGGGTTTTCCATCTTGCTTTGACCTATCATGTCCCAGGTTTAGTATGACTTTCCAGCTCCATATTCCACCACTGCTTGACTCTAGTGTTTTTGAAGTGGATTAAAGACCACCTATCTCAGAATCACCTGGGAAGGTTATGAAAAATACGCACTCCTGGGCTTTACCCTAAACATACTTAATCAGAATGTCTTTTGATGGTGGTTTGACAATATGCATTTGAAAATAATATCCCAGGTGACTTATTCGCACAGCGTTTTAACAACCATCAGAAATGAATTGGGGGTCTTGCCTGACTGTGGGTGTGTTGTGTTTGTGTTAAGTAACCACTCGGTTCAGTCGGTTATAGCAAGAGTTGGGAATTATTTGATACCAATGTAAGGCAATACAATATAGTATCTACATGAGGACTCTTAACATCAGATAGAATTCTAGGTTTGAATCCTGACTCCACCAGAGAAATGATGGAAACTTGGGTAGGTTATCCAAACCTTTTGTGCTTCAGTATTGTGTTTTGAATAAAAATGGGGATAATACTGCTATGTATCCCATAGGGTTGTTGTAAGGATTAAATCATTTAGGAAGTGTTTATTATACCACCTGGCAGAGTTAGGACTCAAAAGATTGAACTATTACTAGTTCTACTACAACTATTCAGTTGCTACTATACAACATAGCTACTTGGGCCACTTACTACCCAAGGGAGAAACTGTTTTCAGGAATGTCAGGCTGAGGGGTCAGCTAACCTCTAGATGACCTATTGAGCTCAGCTTATCAAATGGTTAAACTTGCTTGAGCTAGACCGAGCTGGACTCATATTTAATGTCTTAAGTTAGGCAAAACAATTTGAATTTATATTATTACTTTCTTATTTGAGGGTCAAATAGATCAACTATTCTCTTTTCAACCCACGTTAATAATAATCATTAGCAATTTATCATCTCATTAGCATTAGCATTTAGGTCCTCTCAATATAAATACTGTATGTGTGTGACAGGATGGATGTTTTCTTCTCTGCAGGGGGAAAGGAGATTCCCCAGAGGCCCGAGCATTAGCCAAACAAGTAGCCACAGCCCTGCAGAACTTGCAGACTAAAACCAATAGGGCTGTGGCCAACAGCAGACCCACCAAAGCAGCAGTCCACCTTGAGGGGAAGATTGAGCAAGCACAGCGATGGATTGATAATCCCACAGTGGATGACCGGGGAGTTGGTAAGGCCATCAGTATTCTTAAACCTCATTAAACTGGTCTCAGTGAAAATAAGAAAATTGTTGTTAGAGATTCTGTATCATCTGTAATTAGGTGCAGAAGGGGTTCTTCAGCCACTGATGAGTAAGTTATTCTACACTGTGACTCCATTTCCAAATGGAGCCAGTAAGAGTCATGTGATCTAAATGATTTTTGCCTTGGGCATCATACCATTACCTCTAGAAAACCTGAAATTTTGATTTGGGGGGATTCTAGAAATGAATCAGTAAGAATTTAGGTCATAATATGATAGAAAGTCTGCAGAAGCTGAGAGATCTATTTACTTCATTTGCTGTGTTTGTTGGATAAAAAGATAAGCTTAGGGCCTCCCCGGTGGCGCAGCGGTTGAGCGCTGGGTTGCGAAGCTGCCCGCAGCCTCTGCAGCAGTTCGATCCCCGGCTGCTCCCCGTCCACCGGAGGAGGGTCCCGCATGGCGCGCAGACCGGTCCCGCATGGCGCGCAGACCTCTCCTGCTGCCCGCTGCTCCCCTCAGCAGTGTACTACGGTCCTTCTGCCTGCTCTGCTCCCCGCTCTGGCTCTGGTGAATTCTCTCACCCTCCCACGCTTCTGACTGTACCCAGTGCTTATATAATAAATAAATAAAATAAATCTTAAAAAAAAAAAAAAGATAAGCTTATTAATCAATGATTGCCTGTGTTAGGAAATCAGACAGATGTATAATTTCCTGGGTGAGGAATAAATTGGTACAGATTTTCTGAGTAGCAATTTGGTGTCATATGTTGAGATTTTAAAAAGTTCATACTCACTGACTCAGCAATTTGACTTACAAGGATTTGTTATAAGGAGTTACATCCAAGAATGTATATAAGCAATGTAAATGTTTAATAAAAAGTGGCCAACATTATGGTTAATACTACAACATTGTACATAGGCTTTAGATCGTTATCTTGAAGAATATTTAATGATGTGGAAAAATGCTTGCATTAAAGATGAAGAAGCAATGAATAAAAATTAATGTGTAATAAGATCCCAGTTTTATAAAATTGAAATATATGTGTGTATGAGAGCATGCAGTGCATTAAAAAAGACTGAAGGAAATGTTCAACTGTTATGATTATGGATGATTTAATCTATTTTTATGTATAGATTTCTGCATTTTTTATTGTTAGAAAAATCTAATAATGCTATTATTTACCTTCTGTACTGTTACTGCAGTTGCCTTCTTCAGGTCTATTTGATTTCCATGTTTTCCTTTTGATCCAGGTCAGGCTGCCATCCGGGGGCTTGTGGCTGAAGGGCATCGTCTGGCTAATGTTATGATGGGGCCTTATCGCCAAGATCTTCTGGCAAAGTGTGACATAGTGGATCAGCTGACAGCACAACTGGCTGATCTGGCTGCCAGAGGGGAAGGGGAGAGCCCTCAGGCGAGAGTACTTGCATCTAAGCTCCAAGACTCTTTAAAGGTAGAACTCAGGAACACATATTTTTATACCTGCTATTATTGAAAAACGTGGGTAGGAGAATTTTAAAAAAATACATAATTTCTTGATTCTAGGTAAAGTGAAAAGAGTGTAACCAAAGATATGAGGAAATCTAGAGCTGTGTTAGGAAAAAACTCACCAGTGTGTGTTATAGCAACTAGTTATGTTTCCCAGGTTAACTCAATTAAGAGTACTTTCATACATTTGCTTTATACATGTATTGCCTGTACTTTTATTTAGTTGGTTTTTCTTATTTTGTAAATTTCAGTAAATTTATTTAAAAGAAAACTTCATAGTAATCTTGAAATCATGAGCTTGATGACCAAGTTGTATTTTTTTCTATTATTCTTTAAAAGACATAATTATTAAAGGCATATATCTGTATAACAATTAAAATCATCTCGGGTATCACCAGCTAGTACATGGCACCCACCTTGAGAAACAATGGGGTTATTAAGATTTCTTTGTTTTAATCAAAAAACTAAGGATGCTAACTATAAAAAAAAGAAAGCTAGGGCTTCCCCTGGTGGCGCACCGGTTGAGCGCTGGGCTGTGAGGCTGCCCGCAGCCTCTGCAGCACCAGTTCATTCCCCGGCCGCCGGCGAGGGTCCCACCAAAAAAAAAAAAAAAAAAAAAAGAAGAAGGCTTTTTTATGACTTCTCAGAATCTTTGTTAGGCTCATATTAAGAAATGGATATATGGGGGCCTCCCTGGTGGCGCAAGGGGTTAAGTCTCAGCACTATCAAGCTATCAGCAGCCACTACAGCATGAGGTCAATTCCCACCCAGGGAGCTAACCCACATGGTGCAGCATACCACTCCTGTCTCACCCACTGCTCCCCTCAGCAGTGTATTTCAGTAGATCCACCTGTTCTGCTCCCCACTGTGTCTCTGGTGAATCCTCTCACCCCACATACCCCAATTGGCCTATACCCCAGTTCTTGTATGCATAAATAAAAATAATTCTTTTGAAAAAAAAGGATACATGTATTGGTAATTAAGTTTTTCTAGAAATTCAGTTGAAAAAATCATGTATCAAAAAAAATTCCCATTCTTGATTTCTTTCCTCTCTATATAAGAAAGTGTTTAGAAATTTGGCTTTGCATTGACCAAACAATCCTTAAAGTTTTCTGTGGACATTATCAGGCCCCTTCAGCACTGGGAATTATAAGGAACTCTATCTTGTTTCAGGACTTTCTTTGGGCTGCCTCCATGACTCTCAGTGTCATTTCTTAGAGAACATCAAGAAAGAAAGCAAAGATTTCTTAATTGGGTGAAACAATCTCTGAGGAAATGTGGGACAGGTCTTACTTCTACTAGGCACTAATGTCTTAGAGGGCATTATTGATATCTTAAACTTGTTATATTCTAACTAGTGCTTTTGTACATAGTTAACACCCATTTTTATATGAATAAATGTGTTAGTAAAGTAACATTGGTGAGTTTATGATTTTTGGATGTTTCTGAAGATTTTCACTTGTAAATACTTTCTTTTAAGGATCTGAAGGCCCGGATGCAGGAAGCCATGACTCAGGAGGTGTCAGATGTTTTCAGTGATACCACAACTCCCATCAAGCTGTTGGCAGTGGCAGCCACTGCACCTCCCGATGCACCTAATAGGGAAGAGGTGAGTTTTTGAGTTTTTCTGTTAGCCAGCCATACATGTAAATATACAGAAACACATAGATACACATGCATATGCATATACATTGATTAACTATTTAATGCAAAATGTGATTACAGTGTACCTTCGGGACAGTGGTTGGACAAAGAAGATGGATTCTGTCAGGCAGTACCTGATGTGCACTGTTTAGTACAAACCTGATCCAGTTTTGTTTGGAATACCTTGCTATATATAGCTTTGCATAATATCCCTGTGGGAATAAAACAAACTTTTTTTTTTTTTTTTAATTTGAGAGCTGAATAAATGATTCAGTAGATGGTTTTGCATTTGGGGGTAATAGAAGTCAACCCTCCTTTTCTTTGTGTCAGGCCTGAGTGTGAGCTCCTGTGGCTTTTCACATGAAGGTCAGGGGCAGAATTTTTTTATTAATGGTAATAAGATATGTGAAGAGTGCTATCCTGAGGAGACTAGAAATCAGTTTAGGAATCTGTATTCCAATTCTGTGGTCTGTGATTCTTGGCTTTTAATGCATCCAGCCACCTACACTGAATCCTGAGTAGGCATGTCTGTCGTCTTTAAACTAGAGAATAAGCCTTTTGGGAATTCTTCACATTCTGTGAACTCCTATTGCAGACTACTGTACTTAGATCTGTATGTCCTGTTTGTACTTGGTAAGCACTGGTTCAATTGAAATTCAAGGGTGTATGCTTGTACATGGTACTTATGGCCAAACCTCTGAGGAGATACAGGAGAGCCAAGACTTGGATTTTGACTGTTGTCTTATTAACTAGGGTTTGAAGTCAATTCTGAGGTCTCTGCGGTTGCCCCTGCTTAAGGAGATGCTTTTTCTTAGGCTGCATGACTGAAATAAATTTTCTTACTGTCTTTGTTCTCCTTAAGGTATTTGATGAGAGGGCAGCTAACTTTGAAAACCATTCAGGAAGGCTTGGTGCCACAGCAGAGAAGGCAGCTGCTGTTGGAACTGCTAATAAGTCAACAGTGGAAGGCATCCAGGCATCAGTGAAGACAGCCCGAGAACTCACACCCCAGGTTGGGTTGCTCATTTTTCATTATTTCAATATCTATAATATAGTATTTAATAGAGAAGGCTAATTATAGAAAAAAATTAATATATTTTTGAATAGTTGCTATAAAATATTATTTAAAAATATTCATAATATCAAATTTATTTTTTTATCATTTGAATTTCTTACAGTGACCATAGGTTTAGTTTTAAAAGTAGAAAAACCTTATAGAGCAAATGCTCCATTCCCATATATATAATTAGGGAAATATTTGGATAATCATGAGAGTTTATTTTTTATTTTATTGCTTATGCTTTTTACCACATCTTTTTGAGGGTATTTTTTAAAAATTCACTTGTGTCCATAATTTGTTTCCTTTTTCTGCTTAATTGGATAACCAAGATAAAGCTAGTATGCTGTCAACAGTATATTGGAAAAGCAGGAATTGCAGTTCTAATAGGCAATAGATGTTCTTAAAAATATCAGTTCAACACATTCAGTACAATGTTTTCTTCTAATCAAATTATAGAAAGTTTATTATTTTTTATTATTTACTCAGTAAATATATATTGCATATATGTAATACATTAGGAACTGTGCTAAACTTTTTACAAATCTTTACAAATCTGTGATACTGGCTCTGGTAGCAACTTGTGGGGAGAGTTAGGGGAAATAAGTGTATCTCCTAATTTTTCAACTTTTGCTCTGAAGATGATATGTTAACAAGTTAGGTTCTCTGAAAAGTCACACTTGCTCAATTAAAAAAAAAACTTCCATAAAATATGAACATGTCTAACATTCTTTAATAATTTCCATTAAAAATAAAGCATCAAAACAGGATTTCTGTTATAAAATAGATTTTTCATAAAAAAGAAAAAAAGCTAGACTTAATACACCAACTATGGAAAGAACAAGGACTTCAGAGATGGATCTGGATTTGAATTCTCTGTGACATTAGAGATAATTCCTTTTTTTTTTTTTTTTTTTGTTGGACCTTCTCCCGTAGCCGGGGAAGGAACTGGCACTGCAGAGGCTGTGGGCAGCCTTGCAGCCCAGTGCTCAACCGCTGCGCCACTAGGGGAGGCCTGAGATAATTCCTTCTTAATGGATTGTTTTGAAGATTAAGAGAATGTGTGTATGGCTTACACCATATACTCAGTAAATATTAGCACCTTCTCTAAGTGCTGTAACTGACTAACTGGGAGGTCTTGAGCAAGTCACTTAAATTTTCTGAGTCTTGGTTTTTGCATCTGTAAAGTGATTGATTACCTGTCCTGTCTCTTTCATAGGGTTATTGTGAGACTGATATAGTAAGATAATGTGAAAACACTTTGTTGACTGTAGACAGTTATTTTTTAAATAAATCTCCATAAATCAGTTTTGAGTAATTTGTACAATTTTTTTATGGTGCTTTATTAAGATAGATGACTTGATACCCAGGGCTTAAAAAAGGTTTGTTTTAGTATGATCCTGAACTATCATGTAAACATTCACTTCCTTTGTTACTTTTTTACCTTCTTAAAATCAGACTGTGACCAAAAAGCCTTTTGCTAGGGCTCATTGGAGCAACTGTTTTTAAGACCCAAACTAATGTGGTCTGAAAAGAAACTTGCCCATTTTTGGCTTTACAGTGCCATCTGTAGGTGAAGAGGAGGAAGCTTCGTTGAAGATTTGTCTTTGCGTGGGAGGGTGCTCCAGAGTTTAAAGGTGGTTTTATCATTGCCAGGTCGTCTCAGCTGCCCGCATCTTACTTAGGAATCCTGGAAATCAAGCTGCTTATGAACATTTTGAGACAATGAAGAATCAGTGGATCGACAATGTTGAAAAAATGACAGGTAGAGTTGTGTGCAAAGTTCTTATTGTCTAATCCATGAGGAATGAGTTCGGAGAAACTCGAGTAGGACTGGTTATATTACTCAGCTATAACTGGATAATGGGACCGTCATGTGCTCGGCAGTGTATGTGGCCCTGATTAAGGCTGCTGAGCAGCGGTGGCTTCTCATTCAAGCCTTGCAACTTTGTCTGAAGAGAGACTCTGTGAGTCTCTTTTATTTCAGTGCTGCCCTCCCAGTGTGATGTTTATTGTTACAGCTCCTGTCTTCTCTTTGAATAGTGTCTTTGCTCAGTTTGAGCCCAGAGTTTGGTTTCAGAGGCTGGGAGGCGGTGTTTGTGGATACAGTAAGTGTTCCTGTCATTTTCAGTGGGCTCACATTTCAAGGAACTACAATAGCTACCATTTAATCCAGCTTGTCTCAGCGTTTCCTCCAACATATCAACTACGTAGTTTTTTGTTTTTTTTTTCCCTAAAAAAGGAGAAACCAACCACCAACAAACCTCTGTCTGTGCAATTGAAGTAGCACCTCTGAATCTTATTCTTTCTCTGTGAAGGGAGGGCTAGGATTAGAGGGAAGAAATAAGGAATGTGAGCTCTTTGACTTCCCTGCAGAACCTGCAGTGACAGGGGTCCATAGCAGCCGGAGATGAAAGTGGAGTTACGAAAGTGTCTGAAGAGAGGTAACAGAAACAAGAAACAGGCCTTTAGGGTTATTGGAATCCTCTGTGTGGCTCATCTTGGACATTACAAGTAGCCAAAAAAGCAACAGATGGTTGGGGAGTGAGATGGGAGGGGAGAAAATGTTATTAACAGATAATGATGCAGTGAAGGTTTCAGACATAATCCTTGTTTCCTCCCGATGTCGCATTTCTGGTTGTCTGTTATAGATACAAGAAGGCCAGTGACCACAGTTGGGATAAATGCTGTGAGTGTATCTGGCCTCCTGGGTTATATCCTCATATTTTTTTACTATAGTATTGACCTAAAAGCTTTTGTTTGCATAAGAAGGGCTTTGAACTAAAGCGAATTCTGGGTGTTGTACTTTCACATGAAGAACTTGAGCGAACAAGAGTTTGGAGTCTCTCTCCCTCTAAAATAGAAATTAAATTCCATTTTTGTTCTCCCCACAGGGCTGGTGGACGAAGCCATTGATACCAAATCTCTGTTGGATGCTTCTGAAGAAGCAATTAAAAAAGACCTGGACAAGTGTAAAGTAGCCATGGCCAACATTCAGCCTCAGATGCTGGTGGCTGGGGCAACCAGCATTGCTCGTCGGGCCAACCGAATCTTGCTGGTGGCTAAGAGGGAGGTGGAGAACTCTGAGGATCCCAAGTTCCGTGAGGCTGTGAAAGCTGCTTCTGATGAATTGAGCAAAACCATTTCTCCAATGGTGATGGATGCAAAGGCTGTGGCTGGAAACATTTCCGACCCTGGTAAGCAGTGCATGGTGTGGCTCACCTTAGTTGAGAGGTTAACTCAGGAAACTAAGAGGATAGGGAGAGAATATGTATCCCAAAATCACCACATACAAAATTTAGAAGCAAAAACCACAGCTGCTTCAAGTTTAAGAATGAAAGATTAATCTTTCACCATCACCCGAAAATCGGGTAGAATATTTTCTGCAATATAGCCAGATTTAAGTTTCTCTGCCTAGCTTCTCTGTTTGCTTGCTTGCTTTCCTTTTTTCTTCTTTTTCAGTTGATTACTATTAGTTTATCTCTCTGCTTTCTTTATGTTGTCTAAACAGCTCTTCATCCTTTTTTGTCATTATTTTAGAAATTTCTCAAAAGATACACAGTAACTAGTTTACCAACTATTTAACTTCTGTAACTGGCAGAACTCCTATTCTGCTTTTTAAAAGTGATTTTCTTTATGAGATGGTCTCTGTTTCTGTCAAATCTAGAGGTGTTTAAATTGACCAGTGGGCCTCCTAGGTGGTTATCCTGGTCCTATACCAAAGAATCTGGACTTTTATTAGCCGAATAATGATCTAGTTTTCAGTACTATTAAAGATGTTACCACTCATTTGCTTGGAAACATCTGTATTCCTTCCTATTCTGAGCATCCAATGTTTCTTGTCTTATTTTATGAGTAGAATCCACTCAATATATTGAGTGGAAGAAGGAGATGCATCCACGACCCAGGCAGAATCTTGTTAGCATCTATCAGCACTAAGAATATTCTCGGTTTCCTAATTGGAGTTTCTAATAATTTGAGGAGATTCCTGTATTCTAGGTGGCTAGAAACAGTAGCAGCATTTAAACGTAAGGGTTAATATGTTGAATGCCAAGTAGAGCAGAGTAGGGAGAAAGGTGAGAAGCATTCAGGGAATGTATGCTTGATCTGAAACTAACATCTGTCCTTTTGGGCAGGCTTATCTGTTGACTGCTTCATCATAGGAGAGGTGATGAAGACCTATCTGTATCCAAGTGTTCACACTCAGGGAATGTCCTGAGTACTTGTTATTGTATAGGCAAGGAGCCACCCTGAGCACCACAGGAAACAGCTGGTTTGTAGCCTCAGGGTATCTGCCCTGTCTTTACCTTCTCTCCCCTTTAATCACTACCTGTGAGGCTTACTGGCAGCTTCACATCCAGCTTTTGTTAATGGAACCAGTTCTTCTGCTGGACAGAGAGTGCTCCAGGGCAGTAAGCTGCCCAACTGAAAGTGAGGGTGTCTTGTCTTTAGGCCTGCAGAAGAGCTTCCTGGACTCTGGATATCGGATCCTCGGAGCTGTGGCTAAGGTCAGAGAAGCCTTCCAACCTCAGGAACCTGACTTCCCGCCTCCTCCACCAGACATTGATCAGCTCCGTGTAAGTAAATTCAGAGAGATGGTGAGAACTGAGTAGCGCGTTGCTGGGACTGTAGAAAGAGAGAGGTAGGCTTTTACTTGAAGCTTAGTCATAATTACAACTTGATTTTCACTCATGAATGTAGCATAATCCTAACTAACTGCTTTTGCATGGAGTGGACTGGGTAGGTGTTGACTTGCTGTAATGGGGAGTGGCTGGAGCAGAGATTTAAAAAGTAGAATCAAGATCAAAATCATTTGGTCTAGCTACCTCTCATGGTCAGATGAGGAACCTGAGGCCCAGGGGAGAAGTTACTTGCCTAGACAGTTACCGTCTCATCAGAATCAGGAGCAGAACTTGGGTCTGTGGGAATCTTCTTTGAGAATCTTTGATTTGGTTGTGCTATGCATGACTTCCTGGGATATGACCAAAACAGTAGCTGCTAGCTCTTAGAGAAAGAGGAAGAAAATATGCTTCTGTTGAGATTAAAGTAGTTGGTCCTTGTGCTCAGCGTGGGTGGTCTTACATGGAGTGAATGTGGGTGGCTTTCTGGGGAAGTTTTTTAGAGGAAAGGAATGAATTCCAAGGGGAAGTTTTTCCTAGAGCTTTACTTAAAACCTGATATTCATTCCTAGTTGACGGATGAGCTTGCTCCTCCCAAACCACCTCTGCCTGAGGGTGAGGTCCCTCCACCCAGGCCTCCACCACCAGAAGAGAAGGATGAAGAATTCCCTGAGCAGAAAGCTGGGGAGGTGATTAACCAGCCAATGATGATGGCTGCCAGGCAGCTCCATGATGAAGCTCGCAAATGGTCCAGCAAGGTAAGTAATGAAGCTTTTCTTGCTGAGAAAGGATGAACCATGCACCTAGCTAAGAAAGAAGGGATCTCCTCATTGCTTTGATTCTATTGTTGCCAATAGCATGATCCCCTTCCTTCTTGTTAGTTTAACGAGAAGTTTCTGGTGCTTGATGGTTTCTCCTGCTGGCAGCGAAAGTGAGCGCTAGGATGCCTGTGGTTGGGGAGGAGGGTTCCTTTCCTCTGTCCATTAGCCTCCCTGACTCTGGACATTTGGAGTCTTAGAAGTTGCTTTTCTCTTGGGATTGCTGACCGTTTTTTGATGCTCTCTTGCTAATTATCAGCACTCTAAACTTGAAACTGTCTTCTGTGGGCTCTGCTACAGCTAGATGAAATGTTTGCATCTTCCTGTTTTTTTCATAGAAGCTGTGTGCTTTGTCCTTTTCTGAGAATCATCCTATCCCTCAACTCAAGATAACTCCAGTATAACTCCAACTCAACAAGTCTCAAACTTTAAAATTAATGTGGTTGGTGAAAATTTGGATGCTGTAGCAGTCATGCCCTGTGAATGACTTTGGCCTGTTTTCCCCTAAATGATGCAAAGTGAATGGTAGCTTTTTTTTAGATAAGAGTTAAATGTTAATACTAACTTTGCAATGAAATGTAGTTCCAGCTCAGTTCTAAACTTTCAAATATGACCTTTAATCTTTATTCCCACTATTTGCCTTTGTTCTTTTCACAGATTCAGAGGTCTCAGTCTCTTGTAGTGACTGGGAAATTGACCTTGGTTTTTTAACTGTGTTTTTTTGTTTTTTTTTTTGAGCCATTTACTGTAAGCCCAGGTTCTAAAAAGGAATGATGTTGGATTTGACTGTGGAATTACTTGTAATCATATCTTTCCAATGGGGGCATGCACATCCCTAGGACCATTAGCAGAGTCCCATGGGGAGTGGAGTAGGAATGAGAATGAAGGTTAAATTTAAAGGTAATTTAAATTTCATTATGATAAATGTGGCTCCATTATGCAGAATAGAAAGCATATATGAATTATAAAGATAAAACTTAAGAGGCTGACAGCATTGGCCTATTTATTTACTCCACCCTGCCATTTGTGGCCAGAATGTTTAGGTTTGGTTGTCTCTGGAAGTTGGGAGCATCACAGGACACTGAAGTCAGGAGCTACTTGAACCATGTGTATGTGGGGGTTGGGAGGTGGCGGCGGTGGTATGTGTTTGTGTATCTCTCAGTCAGTTTGTCTTTGAACAGTTTGGGGGTCTGAATCCCAACACCAGTGAGCTGGCCTTTCCTCTAATCGGATGAGTCCTGGTTGAAACAGAGTTTAGGTGAAAGGATTTGGATGGTATCTGTATCCCTTATTGGCCCTGAATCCTCCAACTTCTGTTTGGAGACTGGCTTCCTGTGCAGGATAAACTCTTAAGGAATGATGGCAATCTCAAATGAAATTCCACACAAATTCCTGCTGCTTCTTGGTTAGTGATATATTTGATGTAAAGAACTTGTGTTCACTTGCCTTATATAGTTTGGTTTCATTGAGGTAACTTTTATTTGCTTTGTTTGGTTGTTTTCAGCAGCTAACCCCTACCTCCCACCCCTCACTGGCTCTTGTCCTGGCCTTTTAGAATCTCTATCCCAGGTATTAAATTCTCTCCCCCTAGTGAACCTGTTCTCTCATGGGCACTTATTTGGGTATCTTTGAGCTCAGCTCAGTCAGTTGCCAAGTTCATGTGTTATCTGTGAATTATTTAAGTTTGGGGTAAGTGAGAATTTTATTTTGCAATGGAAGAAACTAGAGTGTACACAATGACAGCTTCTTGAGCCTGTATTAGCAATGGATGTAATATCAGGTTGTAGAAGTATTGTTTTTGCAGACCTTGATGGGCTAGAGAGAGCTGGTATTATTTTTTCCTAAAAGGTAAACAGGTTTAGGTGTCTTTTGGAAATGGGTTATTGGGGAGTACTTGATAAATCCTCTTCACCCACAATTGTGTTTGATATCTGTTACCTCCGTGTATTAAATTCTGGGTCTTTCAACTCCCAAAGGAAATGATAATGTGCATCTACAGAACTGATCTAAGTCACTTCCTGTCTCCAGGAAGATGTAGAATAGTGTCCATATGAACCAGCAGGGTGTTCACTTTGTTATATTCAAAACAAACTCTGTTGGTTGCATTAGCTTTTCCCCAGTGGACTCCTTTTAAAGGTAACCAGCTACTATTATTTGGTTGTTTGGCTCCTGAAAATGTTGTCATAAAAATTACTCTTGGCAAGCTTAACTTTGGTAGTAAGTGTATAAAAAAAAAAAAAATGAATGTCACTTGCTTTCTTGGTATAAATGTTTCTCCAGAAAATCTTTTTTAATGGGAAGCCTCTTTTCTTCACTTACTGTGAATGGGGTGACTTGGGCTGGAGGCTGAGAAACCCTTTTGCGGAGTTTGGTTCATCTGGCTCCTGGAGAATATGTCATTTTCTTTCCTATTCTAGACAAGCTTTGGTTACTAAAACAGCTGACGCTCAGTTTCGCAATTCCTACTGCTCTTACTAACACTATCCCTGTTTCTCATCCTTCCCGCCATCGACAAAGCCGGGTATTCCAGCCGCTGAGGTGGGTATAGGTGTTGTGGCAGAGGCAGATGCGGCCGATGGTGTTGGGTTCCCTGTCCCCCCTGACATGGAAGACGATTACGAACCTGAGCTGCTGTTAATGCCATCCAATCAGCCGGTCAACCAGCCCATTCTGGCCGCGGCTCAGTCATTGCATCGGGAAGCCACCAAATGGTCTAGTAAGGTACTGATTAGCACCCTTGATTGGGGCTGCTCCAAATGCATCCGGCCATGTGCAGCCTTGACACGTTGCATCACTCATGATCTGTGCGGGTCCTGTGAGTCTGAGCAGGGCGGGCATCTGTCTGCACCTTGTTGTTAGGACTGGCTTCACAAGTTTGATAGGTCTGCTAATGCCAGATTAATTGAATTGCATTTCTGTTTGAGACTAGAAAAGGATGGGGGCACTTTTTGAAAGGAATCCTTTTCTTGCCAACCTTGTAGCCATTGTTGGAACCTTAAACCCCTTGGGAAGCTGTGGATGCATCTCTCAATGACTTTCAGGTCAGGAACATTGTAGACCATTATTAGGTCACCTGGCCTGACCATTGAGCTTTGCTTGCCCCCCTGCTCCCCTGTTGACTTCTCTGATGGCTCAGGCAGAGTTGATCAGGGTGAGAAGCAGCTTTATATAGAAGGGTCTCTAGGAAAGAACTGCTTGCTGCCCTGCACTTGGCTGTGTGGCAGATGCTGCTGGCCTTTATGGGAGCCCACAGGGAAGGAAGCTTCACTGGCTGCTTGTCCAGGTGTTTCAGTGGGAGGGAGTGGGGGGACCACTCAAGGCTGCAAGACAGGTAACAACAGCGCTTTGGCCTTGGGGACTAAGCCAAGGCTAGTTTCAGGAGTGGAAGATGGGTAATCACTTGTTTCCCTGTTGAAGATGGCATGTTACAAGAAGGGTTTCAAGAGTGATGGGTGATACTAACCCAGGCACTATACCATCTTCTAACCAAGGTCCTAAAGTCCTGGAAGAGGTGGGCCCAGATGGCCTTGTCTAATATACCTTTTGCCTCATGACTCCTTCCCAAACCTGTGTTCTGTCTGGTCTCCAACGATTGCCTGAGATGTTACATGCCTTCCAGCATAAACCATCAGCCACTTCACGGTGCCTGTGGAGGTCTCTCACAGAGCACCCTGCAGCGGCATGGTCTGCGTATGCCTCACTGCATCGTACAGAAATTAAAAAGCATGAGGGGAAAAATGAGTAGGATCCGATCTTTTAAATAGTTTTGAACATTTCAGTTATCTTTGGTTATTATCAGTCCAAAGATGAGCCTTTTTTAAGGCATAATGTTAAATTATGACTATTATGAGGGTTTTAATGAACCAAAATGCCTAATCTCAGGTAAACTGATGTTAATTGGCTTGGGAGTTTCATTTACAGCTCGACTCATGATTTTTTGTTTTCCTGATACCTCCTCTGGTATCCTCTTAGCTAGAGATTCCTTTATTTGAAGGAAAAGCTTAAAGGACAGAAGAATTAATTCTTGGCCTTTTTAAAATGTGAAAAATTAACATAGCATGTTCCTTTAGGGTGACAGGACAAACAAGAGGTGGTAGAGGGAGGATGGGAGTAGTGTATGTTAGACAATGTTTTTCTCACCGAGCCTGATAATAGTTATTTGGAGTTTTAAATTCTAGCTCAGCAGTACAGTGCTTGGTTCCTATTTGTAACAAGGGTTAGGATGAAGATGATGATTTCAGCATCTGGAAAGTCTCCTCTGTATTTTTCCCCTCAGGCCAGCTCTACTGCCTTGTCCATATAAAAGGAAAATGCCTATTTAACTAACTTCTTGGCCTTGTCCCCACTTTATTGAATGATTAACCTGGAGATGCTTAAATGCTTGTTCAGTGCTGTGACTGGCGTGCACATGTTGACTGATCTTCCTTTTTTCAGGTGATCTCTCTCTGGGGGCAAGTACCCTGTCTCATTCTTCTCTCCTGTGCTGTCTGTATCACTTAAGAACAGTCCTTTTATCCTCTTCTCATCCTTCTAGAAGGCTACTAGATCAGCAGGCTCCTTCCCTTCTTTGCTATACTTCTACTTCCTCCCCTAAGTTGTCCAGAGCGTGGGCTGAGCTCTCACTGTATCTTTGCTTTTCTCTAGGGCAATGACATCATTGCAGCAGCCAAGCGTATGGCTTTATTGATGGCTGAGATGTCTCGGCTGGTAAGAGGGGGCAGTGGCACCAAGAGAGCACTGATTCAGTGTGCCAAGGACATCGCCAAGGCCTCAGATGAGGTGACTCGGTTGGCCAAGGAAGTTGCAAAGCAGTGCACAGATAAGCGGATTAGAACCAACCTCTTACAGGTACTCAGATATGTGTGTGTGTGTGTGTGTGTGTGTGTGTGTGTGTGTGTGTGTGCGCGAGAGAGAGAGAGAGAGAGAGAGAGAGACAGAAGAGCAGGAGACAGAAAACTGGGTGATCAAAGATGTATTTCTAATGGGAAGAAATAGCAGATAAAGACAATACATATGTATTTTGGAAAGACAATTCAGGAATGTTTATTTCCTAAGCATATGAAATAAATTTAGTGCTTCCACTCTTGGACAAAGGGACTATACTAGCCCTGAGGAAAAGCGGGTGGAATCCTGATGTTAGGGAGTGCCTTCTGCATGCCAGAATACTGTATTCCCAGAGCATTGGGAACACAGAGGTGGGTAAGTCTTGTGTTCAAGAGACTTGTGGGCAAGAAAAACTGAAGCATCCTAAATTAAAATTTCTCTGTAGGTATGTGAGCGGATCCCAACCATTAGCACCCAGCTCAAAATTCTGTCCACAGTAAAGGCCACCATGCTGGGTCGGACCAACATCAGCGATGAGGAGTCTGAGCAGGTATGTGTCTGTTGCTACTTGCTTTCGAACAGGCAACTTCTGTGCTACTTTATAGCAATTTAATTCAACTTTGAGGAAATTTTACCTGTAAACTGAGTATTCTATATGTGAGATAGATTCAGGGGAGTAACTGTGGAGAAACACATCAGAGATTTGGAAGAGGGGAATAAAGGTCTTGTGTAACTTTTGTCATTTTACAGATAGGAAATTGAGGCTCAGGGAAGTTAAAGGCCTTAACCAGTAGCAGTTAGGACTTCATTTGAAATAGGTGTTGCTGTCTCGAGGTATCCAGTGCCTGTTCACTCCTACCCACTCTTTGTTTTTGGCTACAGGGAATTTTTGCTTCATAATTCTCTGGTGTATCAGAGAGAATGAACAGTGCAGGCTTTTCAGGGGAATGAGGTAGTTAAGCTTGTGCTAAATGACCACTCAAAGCAGGTGCTTTCCTTTTGGTTACTTTGACAAAGATTGAGAGGGTAGTGGGAAGGTTCTCTGAAGTGAAGCTTCTTGTTTGTACCTTGGTAACCACTTCTTGGAGTTTGTCCTTCCTCTCCTCCTGGAAACATGGCCCAGTTCTTTCTGAAAACACTCATTTAAGCACACGTTTCCTCTTATCTCCTCTGTAGTAGATCCTGCTGAACTAGACTACCAATTTCTTTTTAGGTAGGTAGCACATTTTTTTTTGTGGCTCTATCCAGACAGGGCTCATTATAAATGAGGGGTGTATGTAGCACTGTACTAGGTTTTAGGCAGGTTAAAAAGCCATGATTCTCCCACCCACCACCCTAGGAACTTGCATAGTTTGTGAGACCATTTCTGATGGCTAGGCCAGGAGGCAGAGGGACACTGCAGAGGAGATAGGATAGTGCCCTTCTGGGTGCCTGAAGTAGTGCTGCTTTCACTACCATGTTTTAATCCAATAGCTTTCACCCCTTACTCTCGCTTCTCTTAAACCAAACTAAGATTTTTACCCCCAACTTGCATGTATTATAGGCAGGGTTTAGGTGTGGGCTATTTTCTGTCATGTGACTCTTTCTGCCCAAAGAAAAGGAGGTAGAAAAAACATGGAAGTAAGAAGAATATGTCAGAGTTTTGGGTCTTATCGTTTAATTAACCATTAACCAACAAAAGTGTATCCTTGGAATATATACTATGTTCCATTAAATATTCCAGTGAGGCCTCCCTGGGGTTAAGACACAGAGCTATGAAGCTATCCACAGCCACTGCAACACAAGTTTGATCCCTGGCCAGGAAGGTGACCCACATGACACAGCAGACCTCTCCTGACTCGCCTGCTGCTTCCCTCAGCAGTGTGTTTCAGTCAGTCCCCCTATTCTGTTCCCCACTCTGTCTGGTGAATCCTCTCATCCTTCACACCTCTGGCCTGTACCCTAGTTTTTGCATGCATAAATCTTTTAAAATAAATATTCCAGTTTAAAAAAGGTAGAAATTGACAGCTGTTAGAGTGGGGAAAAAATAGGACTGCAAGTCAGAGTACCAGTGTGATCCCTGGTGTGTTGGTTTGTATGTTTAGAATATTTACTTATTTAGATTCTCATGGACTTATAAGGTCATTAGTTTATTTGGCTATTTTTTAGTCAGTTGGTTAACTAATTAATTACCTCCTATGTGCCAGGTTCAATCTTAACAGTAGGGTGCAATAGTGAACACAACTGAGAAAACTATCTGCCCTGTGGAATGTAAACTTTAGATATAATCTTTATAAAACATACGGTACATCAGTTAGTAATTATGATAAGGGGTAAGCAATGGGATACCCTAGGGAAAAGCATTCCAGGAACAGCAAGAGCCCAAGGCAAGAGCTTGTTTGAAGACAAAGAAAGAATATGCTAGAGGCCATCTAAGGGCACAGTGTACAATCAGTGATGGTTTAGTTTGGGATTCTTTTTGGTGATCCAGCTAAGCCACCAATGATGTGATAAGAGCAAAGGATGCCGGGTGCAAGAAAGGTAAAATGGTTCAAGCCTTTTTTGGAGGCACGGTTGCTTCAGGGACCACGAGTAACAGAGAATTCCTCTTTCCTTGCAGGCCACAGAGATGCTGGTTCACAACGCCCAGAACCTCATGCAGTCTGTGAAGGAGACTGTTCGTGAAGCAGAAGCAGCTTCAATCAAAATTCGAACAGATGCTGGATTTACACTGCGCTGGGTTAGAAAGACTCCCTGGTATCAATAGGCACCTGGTTGAAACTAGCTGGCACACAAATCCCACTAAATGGAATGAAAATGATCTGAGTTCTAGGAGCCTCCCAGAATTGCTGGGGGGTCAAAAGCCATATCCTGGCTTGACCTAACAGAAAGGAAAGGAGCCTCTTCACATTAGAAAACATGTATACTCATCATAGACACTTTGAAATGTGTCTTGGTATAAAGCCTGTATTCTCAAACACAGTTATACTCATGCACACTTTGTCCCAACAGGCAGACTGGGTTTCTAGCCTATGGAGACTTCATATAAGCTCAGAATCCAAGAGTGAACACTAGTCAGACACCCCGCTCTGCACTTGCTCCTAGGGGACAGTTTCTGCTCTGCTTCCTTTTCCCTGCTTCCCATTCTCTCTTCTAGGCTCCCAAGACCCAGGGCCCAGGCAAGTCAATTAAGGACATCACTGTGCCTCCAAAATTTGTTTTGGGCTTTCCATGTTGCTGCTGACCTGGCCTGCCCTCCCTGGCTGCTACCTGGGTCCTTTTCAGGAGTGAGCTTTGCTGCTGTAGGGGAAGGTGGCCTCTGGGACTCCCAGCATATGGGGCCTGGATTAACTTCCTGTCCTCTCCCAATTTAATTCCATACTACAAAACCAAATTTAACTCTATTAGGAGAATAGTCACAGAATCACGTGATTCTTTCTTTACCAGAGGGAAACTTCGTATCCCATATATCTCACCTCAGCCTGCCAAGGTAGCCATCCCATGAACACACTGTGTCCAGGTGCTCTCTGCCACTGGAGGGGCAGAGTAGCCCAGGTGTGGCCTTGCCCATTCTCCCAGCAGGGTCACCCCCAGGCGCTCCATGCTTTGTCACTGCCTGTAGAGGTCTGTGCTGAGGCCTTATCATTCATTCTTAGCTCTTATTGTTCCTTCTGAGCTGAAATGCTGCATTTAATTTTTAACCAAATCATGTCTCCTTATCCTGGCTTTTGTATTCTCCCCTACCAGCCCTCCTAAATAAGATTTTAAAGATGTGTTTTTCCATCTGTAATTTTGAAAGATCCTTTTTATCTTTTTGAAACTCAGAAATAAGAATTGGTGCTTGCCCCCCATGAGTGTTTGTTTAATGCAACGGCAATCCTGTCAGGAAATGCCTACTTAAGGGAGAGGGACAGTTGCATACTGGAATTCTGGTACTGTAGGGGATGAGTCAGTCCCCTAGGAAACAGTCCTCAGTAATTCCTACCCTCCTCAATCAGCTATAACCAATCCCTTGCAATCCTCTCCTCCCTCCCAAATATGTTTAAGAGAATTTGGTATAAGAATTAGTTATCACCATAAAGTCCCTATTAGCAAAGTGAGAGAGAAGACAAGTTTTCCTTTTTTGCACTTGTCACTGCTGTCTAAGCATTCCCCAGCACATGAAACCATATTTTTTCCTAAAGCCAGAACTGGATGAGTAAAGGAGTAAGAACACTTGCCTGAATGTCTTTCCTTCCTTCCCACCCCCAATATGTGTGTTAGATCCCAACTTCAAATGTGTAAAATTTGTCTTAAGTTGGTACTGTACACTCAGGCTTCCTCTATTTCCTTTTAATTAACTGATAAAGATTGTTTTTAAGGCCCTCAGCATATTTATATAGTTGCTTACCTGATATAAATGCAATATTAATGCCTTTAAAGTATGAATCTATGCCAAAGATCACCTTTTGTTTTACTAAAGATTACTTAGAGGAAATAAGAAAAATCACGTTTGCTCTCCAAGTTCTTCCAGTGCTTTGACACTGGTTTATACTTTATGCCAATGTGCTTTTCTCTAATATCAGTGCTCAAGACACAGTGAAGCAAAAAAAAAAAAAATCCCTAAATGATGATTAGAGACATCACCACTAAAAGTCTACATTTATTATCTAGTATTTGTTATATGCAAATATTTTCTGCCTCTTCATTTGTTCTGTTTAAAACAATAAAGTGCATTTGTATAAATAATGCTTTAAATGGATATGTTATTAGAGCAGGTTTTTTCTTAATTTTGGAATAGCAATGCAACTAATCCTCAAGATCTGGAAACTAAAAATTTTTATTTAATCAGTCTGGACGAAGTGAGAAACAGCTATAGTGTATTTACTTAACAAGGATTTGTGTAATAAACTACAACTTTGGGGCTTATATACTAGAAAGAGCAGAAGTGACAAACAGGAGGAGTAAATTAGCAGGTGATGTGACTCATTCCCCAGTTGAAGAAGTCTAAATCTTAGAAGATTCTAGCTGTTTGTGTATCCTCTAAGAGGATGAAACTGTTACATGTGCAGGAATACCATAGGTCTATTTTTCATATTCCAAATCCCAATATAGAACAACAGGGTAATGAGGCAGAGCTAGCTTTGGGGGGGTGCGTAGCCCAGTTCTTGCATGAGGAAGCACTAACTAGAAGAGTAGAAGGTTCTTGGAGTAGAGCTGGGTTATCACTATTTTTGCCTGGTTTTCTAGATCTGAAACGGTGATAGTGTTGCTGATTACATTTGTTACTGTTGTAACTTAGGAAAGATGCTGACTAGGGAGTCAGATTCCAGTCTGCTGAGTTACAGGAAAATGTCCAACGCTACTGAATTAACTCAGCAATATCTGAAAAAAGAAATCTATGGTCTCATTTTTGCTACTCACCATATGATCAATGGCACTGCCTTTCTGCTACATTATAGTTTTCTCAAATCAGATGACTCTAAGGGTTCTTATGTAGAGCGCCACTTAAGGGATCACATGAATTTCCTTTGAATAAGATGGTAGTTTCCTTATATAGGATTTTTAAACAATGGGTTATTTTAGGATTACCTGGAATTCTGTGCTTGAAAAATAGTCCACTACTACTAAATTTTCATAGTGAGTAATGATAATGGTGGTAGGAAGAATAGCTTTGATCACTGATTACTATCTGTGGCCAGCAGTCAAACTAAAATAATCAACTATTGCTTCATCTTTTTATTGACAGTATAGCCAGAGCTAGAGAAAGGATTCAGTTCCTTTTGGATTCAATCATATCAATAAATGGAATAATTTAATTGAAAAAGTAAACAGTCTACTTAAAAGTCTTAGCAGAAATTGCTAGAGAGGTTCTTGGTATACAATCTGCTTGTATATTAAGTGAAGACAACAGAAAAAAAATTGGATAGTCTAGATATGACTGGTAGAGATGAGGATTCTCCAGGAAAAAAGCAAAATACTGATTATTCTTTTGAGGTATGAACTCTGATGAGTAAGACATTAAAAATGAAAAGCAGCTGAACTAGGTGACCAACCTTAGGCAAAGGGGATAAATATTTGGCAACATTTTAATTTTAGTTGCGAAGCTAACTGATAATGGTGACTCTAGAAATACCAAAATTACAAAACTTCTTTCCTGGTAGATGAAAGGGAGGCTGGATACCCTAGACAGGCAAAGGTAAGAATGCTGCTGCATAGTGGAACCCCTGTACAACTAAACATTGGCCCTTGGTAGCAGAATGAGATGAATTTTTAAGGGCTATCCTTAGATGATAAGGAAAGAATGATAATCTTAGCGGAATGAAAAGAAAGCAGTCCCAAGGATAAAAAAGCTAATAGCATAAGAAAGAACAAGAAGGAAACCTAAGAACAAACATTTATAACCTAACTTTCAGCCTTTTTCCATTCTTCATGTCTAATGAGGCAAAATAAGCAAGGATTTCTAAGCTAATGAAGCTGAGTGAAATGATACAACTGTAGAGTAACTTGCCAACCATGATGGTCAATATAGTTTCATACAAGTTAGTAAGGATTTTGTTTCTGCCCCAATATTATATACTTCCATACACCTTGTCAGTATAGTAGAGACATTTAAGTATTCCAATGACAATTATAAGTTTCAGGAAGGAATCTATTGACTATAGATTTGGAAAGCATACAGTATGAAAAGGGAATTCCCCCTATTGACAAGAGCTGCAGGCAAATTTAAGTCCTTAAGAACAACAAAAAAGATAAAAGATCCTACCCCCTCCAACCCCCCAACTGTCAACAATAGTGAGGCAGGTACATTTTCCTCCTTTATCTGAACTAGGGCATGAGGCCTTTAGGCTAACTATGGTTTAAGTGGTGTTGGATAAACTTTATAAAATATGAAGATGGTAATGGTTCACTTAAGCTTCTCTTTTACTATAACTTGCTTAAAATCTCAAATGCTTGTGCTTGCAATAATTTCCTAAAAGCAGAAGTAGTGTTCCCTTTTATTATCTTAATAAAGCATTCACCCCTTTGATACAAATAATTTTTACTGTGCTAACAGCAGAACCAGTGGCACAAAACTGAGATGGTACTTAATCCAGCAAGATCCCTGTAAATCAAAATCTGAGCTTTACATAAAAATCTTATTTATAAAAAATACAATACCAAATACCAAGTACAGTGAGAATGGAGCATAGAGCAGCAGTGCTCCCTGCCAGGGCCATGTGGAAGTGGCTTCTGCTACAGTGCTTGCTTAATGGCACAAGTGAAAAGCTGAATAAGGCAAACACTTGAAGAGGCAGTTTTCTGTAAACTTCTTGGGGTGGGGGAATTTCCTCTGTTGGGACATATGCCATTAGGGATGGCTAAGATCAGGTGTGACACTTGGGTGCACCTGATACATCACACTACAGATTAAGACAGCTCCTGCTGGCTGAGACCAGTTTACTTCTTTTAGGAGACAGGTTATCACTGTAGACTTCTGCCTTTACTGTTAAAATGTGCAGCCTCCAGCTGGTGCCCCCTTATGGAGGAAATCACCTCTAAAATCGTCCTAAGTTGAAAAGATATAAAATAAGCTAAGTTATTCAAAATTTTCCTTAGCTTAAAAGCTCCTTTAGGATCCTACATTGATTACTAAGCAACTTTGTTAGCGGTGTGTGGCTTGACAAAAATGCTTTAACTAGAATATGTATTCCCACCCACTTGGTACCTAATAGTAATAAACTGTAATGACAGTTGGAAAACAAACAGATCTTGAAGAATTTTGGCCTCTTCTCATGTCCTCACTTGGAACTTTCCAGCTTTTGTGACATACTTGACTCCTTTAAATGGCTTATATTTCTCCCCATACATGTCCAAGCGGTTTACTTTTAAGCCTGTGTCAAAAAGAATAGGTAAGGAAAGGAATAAATTATTATCCTAGTCACGTCAAATACAGTATTTGTTTAGCATTTGAGCACTACACAGTAAATCTGACATTAACCAATGTATCTTCTAACATTTGGTAGCAATGTCCCTTCTACTATTCACAAATCATAGCATGTGGAGATAAGATTTTTAGTTTGAATTCTCATTGTGGGGAAAGAATAGCTTTTAAGGATAATTCTACTTTCTGTGAGAGTGAATGACTCCTCCTTTGGTTTCTGAATGAGGGTGAGGGTGAAGGAAAGCTGTGTGAGATAAGGTGCTTTCCAAAATCATTGTACCCAAGATGCTGGCCTCATACACAGAGTGAAAGGCTCTTTCTAGAGAGAGAATGTTTAGTTACCCATCTAGTCAACACCTCCCAAACTCAGTTACCCTTAAACACAAATCAAACTTATCCTGACCTGAAATAGCAAGCTGCTGAATCTTGAACTGTATGTTGAGGCTTGGATTCTCTTCTGGCTTGGGTGCTCCAGCTTGTAAATTTACCAGTCCTTTAAGACTTGGAAGCTTTTGTGGAGTAATTTTCCCCACATCCCATGTCAAGACCTTCAAAAGATATTAAAAACAACAGTCTGAGCCATTTATTAAAGGCAAATGTTCAAAGACACCATGAAACTTTGTACAAAATGAAGCACAGTGTCTTGGAAACAAACTGGAATCCTCACTGAATTTTACCACTAATTAGGTCCATGATTTTGAAAGGGGAATGTTGGTAGAGAACCAACATTTGTTGAGCACTGTTATGTTCTATCACAGAAGCCTGTAATGTAGATTTTATCTTTTACAAATGAGGAAACTAGGTTTAGAAGGCAAAAAACTTACTCAAGGTCTACACAGCTAGTTAGAGACAAGAATGGGATTTGAACCCATGGAGATCTTATTTCAAATGTTCTTTCCACTAGCCCACCTTCACTGTTTTCTCTCTATTTTTTTTTTCCAGTAAAATGAGAAGGTTGACTTTGAATTGGTATTTTTAAACTTTTAGCTATAGAACCCTTTCTCAAATTTTAGTATGAAAACTCAGTAACAGATGAAAAAGTAAAGCTGTTACAATGTCAGGGTGAAGGGCCAGGGATGTAGAACACTCCCAAAGTGTTCTGCTGTTGAAAATAATCTTATTTATTCAAGCAGGAAGCTGAGATAAAACCATCTTTTACAGTTTCTCTGAAAACCCTGTTTTTAGAAGCGTGTTTTTGTAGGGTGAAGAAGCAGCTTTCCTAGTCAACATCCCCTGTGGAAGAGTTTGAAACACTGCTTTTAAATTAAAAGAGAGGTCTTAATGATCAATTTCTACACAAAATTGAACAATTAATAGGCTATAATAATATGTTCTTATATCCATGTAATGCTTTTCTGTTTTTATATCTTCTTTACTCATTAGTCTCTGGATCATCAATGGGTGATTAAAGGCACACTCTGAAGGAGAATAGAATGCCTCTGTTCATCTACTCAGAAGCAGGTACACGATCCCCTCCACAGTCAGTATGGCTTCTAGGTTTTGACAGGAACTTTATTATTAACCAAGACACTAAACCCTACCATCTTCCCTCCCCCCGCCTCCCCACCAAGTCAAAGATTCTCAAAGATTGCAGAAAAACTTGTTCATTCTCAATTTGAGGTGGCTGTACCTTGGTAACTGGATCAAACGTATAGCTGCCTTGTGTTGATGTCAGGTTCATGTTCAGCACAACTTTTGGCATATGAACTGTCACTGTGATTCCTTCAACAGTTTTTCCCATATTCTGCTTTGGTCCAATTGTAATATCAAATCTGCCACAAGAACTATTTTCCTTAAAGCTGATGCTGTGTTTCACATACACTGGTATTGCCACTAGACTAAAAAGAGAACACACAAAAGCACATACACGCACAATGAATGGGGTGAGACCATTCCAGAGTGGGCTTGAAAAACCTCAGCCAAGGGTATTCCACCCTGTCTCTGGCTCCAAAATAGGGCGCTCTGGGGAGGTTCTTCAAATCCTTAGGATTGGATTAGATAATCTTTAACTTTCTATGATCTTATTTAAAAAACAAGCCTTTTTCATCATTTTTCAGGCAGCTCAATGAATCTATTGTGGGAAAGAATAGTATTTTTTTACCCAAGTGAGAAGCTAAGAGAAAATCATCTACCTATATCCCTGGAACTGCAGGTTCAGATCCGCATCAGGGGGATTTGAGTACAGCACAGTGTTCTGGTAAACTGTGCTAGGAACTACATAATTTCTGAGCAACAAGTATACAAATCTAGATATAAATCTAAAAGATTTATACTCACAGAAAGGCCACTTAAAATTTTACAAACTAAATAAAACCGTTTCTGTGTGGCAAAAGCCAAGAAACAGTTTTTCTCCTTTTAAGTCCTGTCCTGATGTTACCCAAATACTTTTTGCCTTAAAGGGACAAGTCAGCTACACAGCACTAAATCATTCATTTAAACCTTATTATCATGGGTTGTTCTCAAGTATAGATTTTACTATAGTCTCATTTACCACTACTCTGTACTCTCATATTTAAGGTGCACTGATAACTTTAGACATATATTTTCCACCATTTCTTCCTGTGTCTTCTGATGAGCATGGCTAAAGGGAGCCATGATGAATTCAATTTTCCAACTGTCAGAGTAAAACAGGGATAGCAAATTATCCCATCTTCACTAAATCTGTTGTTGTACTTGCTACCAGTTTCTGTTGAGCCAGGAAGACCAGAATGAAAAGAAGGCACATGACATGTCTGCTTCCCAGAGGCCCAGCAGTGAATTATGACTTTGAGTATTCTTTCCAGGAGCATCTACAGAGTTTCCAAATCAGTTCTGTTTCCTGTCTCATTTCAGAGTCATCTTCTCTACCTTTTTATTGATTCTAAATCTCTGAAAACCTTCCAATAAATACCCTTCTGCTTAAGTTAAAAATAACTAAAGAATGAAACAGGGAAAGTTGAGGTCTTCCCAGAACACTGACATATGAAGGCAGATTCTGGCTGACGCATCAACATACTTTTGTGAGCTGACACGGTATGATATGAGTCGGAAATTTCCATCTGGAGGAATAAATGACAAAACTCTTTCAGATTCCCAACGCTTGAACCGGATACAGGGGTGGAAACTGACATCATCTAGAAGCCTTGGGTTCTAGCAGGAAAAGAAAAGGTAAACATATTCATAGATTATAATGAATGTGGCAACTCTACTCCAATATTAAATTAATATATTCTTAAAAATAGTTAATATTATGACCACATCAACACAGCCTTATATATTTTCACAATGCTTTAAAGTTTGTATTTTATGAAAACCATTTTATTTGAAATTCAATAACTCTGAGGTAGAAAATGTTAGTACAATCATTTCCATTTCATAGAGGAAAGGCTGACCCCATTTCGTAGAGGAAAGGCTGAGGCTCAATGAAATCAAAGTCAAGAAAGTTAATGGAAGAGATCAGTACCAGACTCAGTGCTCTTGATTATTCTTCATAGTATGTCATGCTGATCAATACTCTCATCAGCAAAGCAAATAATTCAATAAAAATGATAATGCAGATTTGCAGAGGCCAGCCAGCTATTTAAGCCACTTCTAGCACACTAGGCAAAGACCTGTCCTCAGCCTTTCTATGAAAGTCATTCTCATTATGTAAACTACTGTCTTGGAAATTTCTCAGGTGATCCTTTCCAATCTAAGATACAAACTTGTCTCAGTATCATTTTACTTAGTAGTTTATATACATTAGCCATGCAAGGAGCTACATAACAGGAAAACAAAACTTACCATAAAAGAAAGGGAAAGGTCAGGCATTCCAGATAACTTAATGCAAGCATCAATAACCCCCTGAATTTCTGCAAAGACTGTAGATCCTAAGGAAAGAAACAGAAAGGATGGTAACATCAAAAGAATCTACATCTTCACTAGAGCTATCCATATCTCTGAAGTAATGGTTCCTGGATGTCAGACATAGTGAAGCTTTTGCCCATCTATTGCCAGGTCAGTGGACAAAGGATTCATTACACCAATTCAGACAGCTTCTAATGAAAATCAAACCTATCTTTATAGAGTTAGTCTTCTAAGAATGTTAGCTATAAAGTTAAATATACTTAATAGAATTTTTTAAATGAGGCAAGCTTCCCATGGAATGGACTGACCTACCTATTCTTTTTAAGAAACAGGAGCCATTACTCTGCAATACAGCTATTATTTGTACAATGGAATTATAAATGAAAAGGGCACTCACTAAAGAAAAGATATTGATTATAATTCACAGTAACTGATTATCACATGCCAACTAGATATGTGTGACCTTGAACAGATCACTTACTCTTCTGAGCCTTAGTTTCCTTACGTATAAAATATGAGAGTTGGACTGGATGTTTTTAATAAAATGTAATGATTCTAATAGAGTACTATTGTTTTTTTCTGGGGTCTTTACTAGAATTACTGCTCATAAAGTGGTAGTAAAAGTATGGTGTATAGCAGATATACAATAACTGTTAGGATGAATAAGTGACAGGGAGAGGTATACAAGGTAATAATTAAATTAAGATAGCATTAGATCTATTTATAAAAGTTTGGCAGATTTCAACTAGTGATTATAAAAATTATATGTAATCCTCTGGGCAAGACAAAAAAAAACCACCCAGATTTTTAACCATTAGAAAATAAATGTTTTTCCACTGATACCACACTGCCAAGGGATTTTAATTTTCTATCCAGTACATATCAGCTGAACTGTTTTTCTCTCAAATATAAAATCACAGGTACACAATTACCTGATTTATCTATAATTGCATCTATTTCTTCAACGACATCAAAATAGGCTTCATTGTTTGTATACTTTACCCCTGCTCGGCGCCATGGGATATTGGAGAGCTGCCCAGTAGGGAGTGTGTCCCCAACATTACTACTGCCTAAAAACCGGAAAAGGAAAGAGCAAAGTCAATTCATAAAATGGCTATCAAAAAAGCTACTAATGGGGGAAAAAAATAGAATGTTTTAGCTGCTTCTGGAATGTTTAAGTTTTCTTTCATTGAAGTTGTGAATGGTTTCTAGAATTTTTGAAAATATATCTATACCAACAACATCAAATTTCTAAAAGATAGAAATAGGTCATGAGGTTCTATTTGCCAAACCTGGTTAAATTCATTTGCTACTCTTTTGCATGCTGTGTGTTAATAGTAACCGAAACTAATTCGAGTGGTTCCACAGTAAAATCTCATACTGCTGCCCCACTGATTTAAAAAAAAAAAAAGGCTAGTTGTTGCAAACCCTTCAATAAAATATCTCCACTGAGAATACAAAGTGATAACTAGTACCTTTGGTAGTGAGTTGAAATTCTAATGAGGTGCTGCCAGGCAGTCCTCAGTGAAGTAACTTGATAAAGAAAATACTCTGCTCTTTTCCCATTTTAAGGTCAGCACACCTATTTGGCTGCAATATGGCTAACTTTCTGGCTAATTTGGCTAATTTTCTGGCTAATCTGGCTAATTTTCTGATAAACTCACATAGATCTGAAAATAAGCCAGGTTGTACAAAAAACACATCCTTGAGCTGTGACATATTTAACGTTTTGGTTAATTTACATTTCAATTCAAAACTAGTACATGCTTAACAACAAAACATGGAAATTTACCTTCCTGTTATAAAATACTACTAATATGAACATCTTGGTTTATTTCTTTAAAAAATTTCCCCCATAAGTAGGCTGTACTTTTTTTTCCTGTTTTTGGTAATTTTTCTTTTTTGATTACTTTTTAAAAAGTAGCAATCATATGTACAATTTTGTAGTCTAATTATGGTTGGTGGTCCTGTCTTCAATCTACTGTTTTCCAGAATTTTCTGAAAACACTACTTTAATCTTCCTGCTGTATATTTCCCCACTGACTTTATTATAAAAGTTAAATATTTAGCCCAGTATTCAAGGACTTCCTCAATGTTAAAATTTTACCTTTCACTACTCAACTAAAGAACAGCTCCCCCTTCTGTTAAAGAGGTTAATACAACTTCAGGTTTTTCACTTTGTGTATGTTTTTCTCATACAGTTCCATCTAAGAAAATGTCCTTATTTCTTCCCCTGTTGCTAAATTCTATTGCTATTCTAGGATCCTGCCCTAGGGCCACCCACTATAGTTCAGGAGGGTTTACTTCATCTACTGAACCATTCTCCTGAACTTTATAATGTAGTACCTTGATAATGTTGTATATTTTTTCATTCTTTATTAACTTTGGAAATTAGAAAGTAGAAAGCAAAAAAAAGGTATTATGTAGTTCTTTAGCTGGAGATGATCACTTTTTTGTCTATGTGAATATGCAAAACTATAAGAAAATTTTTATGATTTTTGTGCTGGGTTCCCCACCCCCCCCTTAAATTATCACATGTACTTTTCAGGGCCTCTACAATGTCTAAAGTATGGAATTGCTTTCAAAATCTGATACTGTTATTTATGTGTTTTAGTTTTTTTCCAGTTTCCAACCCAGAGTGTAACTTTTAGGAGCCAGATTCTATCTTATTATTCCTTGATTTTTCCTGACACTCAGCCTTGCATACAAGGATGACTAAAGGGCTGCTAAATGATCACTTTCTTTTTTTAAAAAAAGATTTATTTATTTATGCATACAAGACCTAGGGTAAAGGCCAAAGGTGCGGGGGGTGAGAGGATCCCCAGAGACAGAGTGGAGAACAGAACAGGCAGATTGACTGAAATACACTGCTGAGGGGAGCAGCAGGTGAGACAGGAGAGGTCTGCTTCACCATGTGGGTCGGCTCCCTGGCCGGGGATCGAACTCATGCTGTAGTGGCTGCTGATAGCTTCATAGTGCTGAGACTTAACACCTTGCACCACTGGGAAGCCCTTGATCACTTTCTTACAGATCTCTCTTGCCCCATTTTTTAGATCTCATACTTGGAAAGGAATTTATAATAGTTGTCAGTATAGTTGGGCTGGCACATAACATTTCAGGTAATTCTTTCTCTAGAAGATTTTAATACTTTCAAAAGAGGAATCATCAGGAGGTACCTAATTGCTAGTCCTACTCAAGAATTAGACCAAAATTGGAAGGTTCTACACAAGTACAAGACCCAAGCTTGTAACACAAGCACACAATCTCATAAGCAGACCTACTTCCTATCTCTGGAGGAGACAATATGACGAACCTTAAAGGTTCTTATACTCTACTGATTATAGGACAGTAGCATAATGCCAGTTCTATAATGCTTGTTATTTGCATTTTCCCCCAGTTTTACTGTGATACAAGTGTATTAAGCGTAAGATGTTAAGATGTGTTGATTTGATACACTTATATATTGCAAAATGATAAGTAGAACTGGCTAATGCCTGTATCACCTCACATAAGAGAATGCTACTTTAAATATTATAATGCCTATCTATAAATAAAGGGCTCTGGTAAGGAGCCTCATTGACTTTTTCTTTTCATTTCTACCAATTTTATTGAAATATAATTGCCACATAGTATTTTAAGATATATATTACAATGGTTTGATATATGTATATACTGCAAAATAACCACAATAAAGTAGTTAACATTCATCATTATATTGGCGACTTTAGGATTTACCTGGACACTTTATTCAGTCTTATTACCTACCGTTAAATAATAGCAATAAAGTTGTGGCCATGTAGCAAAACCTGTAGTAAGTGCCTCCCTGGTGGCCTAGGGGTTAAATCTCTGCACTATCACCACTATGGCCTGAGTTCAATCCCTGGCCAGGGAGCTAATCCACATGGTGCAGCAGACCTCTCCTGTCTTGCCCGCTGCTCCCCTTAGCTGTGTATTTCAGTAAATCTGCCTGTTCTGCTCCCCACTGTCTCTGGTGAATGCTCTCATGCCCCTGTACCTCTGGCTTGTACCCCAGTTCTATGCAAAAATTAAAAAGAAGAAAAACCTGTACTAAAAGTATAAAACCAATTCTTTATCTAAGACCTAGCCTCTTTCCATAAAGGAAATATACATCTGTTATATCTTTACCACTAACTTATTCTGGCCAAACTGGACTACCCCAATAATTTGCAAAATCATAGGCAACAATGAAATATAAATCAAGTTTAATTGCTTGGTTCCTAATAGAGTATGTTTTCACTTACCTGTAATAGAGTTGACAACAGAACGTAGAATTGTTGGTGGTTTAATCAGTTCTTTCAAAATGTTAGATTCAGTAGCCAGTGGAAATCCATTGTCTAACATTTCTTCCAAGAGCTCATAAACTATGACCACATTATCCTTAATTGCAGCCTCTGAACACTCACCAAAGTAGTCCTAGCAAAATGTAGATAATATTGCATAATGGAAGGCATGAAGAAAGTCTTGCTAAATACTTCTTGTTTCTGAAGGAAGACTTTCCACTAGAAAAATTCATTGTTTAAAATGCTGAAAATATGGAAAATGGGGAAAAACTCTCTAAAGTATTATACACTATTCCTCAATATTTTCTTAATATTTTTAAATTGAACTGACTTCCTATTACATATTATGCCAGATAGGTCATTTGACCAGAATGCAAACTATAAATTTTATTTGTTCTGATTAGATAACCTGAAACATACAGATAAGTTTTAAATTATTTGATATATTTAGCAAAACCAAAGAAAACCAATAAAATGTAAATATTGGAAAATTTCAGTATAAACCTTGGAGCCATACAGAAAACTATGTAGAAGGTACTATTATTTCTTGAAGACATAATTTGTAATATATATTAAAAATATGCCTCCATGAACATGAAATTGTTCTGCTCTCCAAAAATAGTGAAAGGCGTAGCCATGTGTACTATTGTACACCCTATAAGAAAATGTTTATGAACTTATGCTTAGTTAAAAAGAAGAGAGAGAAGGAAGCAGACAGACTACACATCAAAAACTAAAATATTCTTTAATTTAAAAAATTTAATTAAATTCTTTAATTTTTTAAATTAAAGAATATAATCATGTATTCCACCTCCAAATAACTTGGTTAATTTGTTTAGAAGATTTAATGACCAACCTGAAAGGTATCAGCAACTCGATGTAGGAACTCAATTACAAAGAGAGGTGGCACTTCAGTCTGTATGACAGACACAAAGAAGAGCTTATCCCGGTAGATACTGATGAGGTAGTGGTGAGGTGTTGAAATGACAGGTGGTACATTTTCAACATCAGCAGCCTTCTCTTGAGCTTCAAAGAAATAATCACAGACAGACTGGCTCACAACGCTTTTCCAGTGCTTCTCTAGAAATATGTCACCGGAACAGTTAATGAGAAATAGGCTGTGGATCATTTTCTGAGGAAAAAAAAAAAGTTTAAATTTACTATACATCAAATACTGTGTTGTATTATCCTGACACCAAACCAGACAAGCTACAAGAAATGACAGACCAACATCATTTAAGATTATAGATGCAAAAATCCTCAATGAGATAATCGCAAACTGAATTCAGGAACATAAAAATTCCATTAAAAAAACATCAAAAAGATTAAAATACTTAATATTTAATTTGACAAAAGAAGTGTAACATTAATACTGAATATTAGAGTATCGTTGAATAGATATTAAAATGACCTAAAAAACAGATATGTCATATTTATGGTTTGGAAGATTATGGGCCTCCCCTGGTGGCGCAGCGATTGAGCGCTGGGCTGCGAAGCTGCCCGCAGCCTCTGCAGCGCTGGTTCGATCCCTGGTCGCTGGGCAAGGGTCCCACATGGCGCGCAGACCTCTCCTGCCGCCCGCTGCTCCCCTCAGCAGTTTATTTCGCCGGTCTCCCTGTTCTGTTCCCCGCTCTGGCTCTGGTGAATTCTTTCACCCTCCCGCACTTCTGACTGTACCCAGTGCTTGTATAAATAAATAAATAAATCTTAAAAAAAGTATTAATATTATTAAGATGTAATACTCCCTCAATTAGTGTACAGATTCAACGCTGTCCTTATTACAATGCTGGCTGCTCTTTTTTGTGTGTGTAAAACTAACAGATGGATTCTAAAATTCATATGGAAATGAAAGAGAGCAAAAACAACCAAAAATATCTGGAAAAAAGAACAAATTTGGTGGACTCACTCTTCCTGATTCAAAAGGTACTGTGCAGTACTGGGATAGGAAGAGACGTAACGATCAATGGAGTAAAATTAAGAGTTCTGAAATTAATCCTTACATAATACGGTCAACTGATTTTTGATGAGTGCCAACACTTTTCAATGGGGGAGAGAAGTCTTTTCAACAATTGGTGCTGGGAAAATTGTATTTCCGCAGGGTAAGGAACAAAGTTAGGTTACTCTTCTATACTATATATAAAAATTAACACATAATGTATCAAAGACCTAAATGTAAGTGCAAAAACTATAAAACTTCTAGGAAAAAAAGTATATAAATATTTATGACCCTGAATTAGATAGTTTTGTTTTTTGTTTTAGCTATGACACCAAAAGCACAAGCAACACAAGTAAAAACAGATAACCTGAACTTATATTAGAATTTAAAACTTTGGTGCTTCAAAGGGCATTATCAAGAAAATAAAAACAAAAATAGTGAAAAATGACAGAATGAGAAAATATTTGCAAGTCATATATCTTAACAATGGACTATTATCCGGAATATACAAATAACTCAAACTCTCTAAGCACACAAAAAGACACTTACCATCTTTTTAAAATAGAAATCAAAATCACAATGAGATAACATTTCATACTTACTAGGCTAGCTATTGATATAATCAAAAGGCACATGATATAAAAAGTGTTGACAAGAATGTGGAGAAACCGGAACCTTCAAACATCATTGTCTGTAAATGGAAAATTGAGCTGCTATGAAAAACAGTTTGAGCTTTTAAAAAAGTTAAACATAGGGTCATTAAATCACCCAACAATTTTTCTCCTGGTTATATGCCCAAAAGTACCGAAAACCTATGTCCATACAAAAACCCCTACACTAATGTTTTAAACCCCTACAGCTATTATTTATAATAGCTCAAAAGTAGAAACACCCTAAATGTTTACCAACTGATGAATGGATAAATATCTAATCAATGGAATATGATTCAGCCATAAAAACGACTGAAGTACTAACACATACAACATGGATGAACTCATTATGCTAAGGGAAAGAAGCCAGATAACAAAGGTGACATACTGTATTATTCCAATTGCATGAAATGTCCAGAATAGGCAAAGACTTAGAGACAGAGTGTAGATTAGTGGCTGCCAGGGGCTGGATGATAGGAGAGGATTGGGGAGTCACCGGTTATGGGTTTGGCATTTCTTCTTGAGGTGATAAAAATCTCATTTAGATAGAGATGATGGTTATAGAACTTTGTGACTACACTAAATACTACTGAACTGTACACCTCAAAATAGTGAGTTTTATGTGAATTATAGGTATGTAAATTATATCTCAATTTAAAAAGTATTCTTAATAGTTGATGACACATAAACATACTCTTAGGTAGATTAAACAGAAGCATGTACAAGTGTGCACCAAAAACATGTATAAAAATATTTGTGATAACAACCTATAACTCAAATATTCATAGTACAATGGAAAATAAAGTGTAGCATATTATAAAATGAAATAAATACAACAATGAAAATGAACAAATTATTGCTACGTGAAACAAATGTGGATGAATTTTACAAACATAATATTGAACAAAGCCAGACACAAAAGCACGCATAATGTTTGACTTATCTACATTAAGTTTTGGAACAGGCCAAACTGATCTATAATTTGAGAAATCAAATTGTTTCTTTTATAGAGAAGAATGGGGTTAGTGACTGAGATTAGCACGGGGGCAATCTTTTAAGGCACTGACAATGTTTTATTTCTTGATCTAGATGATGGCTACAAGTTGTATTCATTTTGTGATTACTCACTGGATATTATGACTTGTGTACTTTTCTAAGTGTTAGCTATGCTTTAAAGAAAAAGTTTATTGTCTTTGCAATATAGGAGGTAATGGAAAAGGTCTAACTTGTTCCTTTCTTTTACATGAATAACATCAGTGGTACAATCAATTAAAATTAAAGTACTGTTATTATAAATACAACCTAAGGAGAAAGAATTTAAAAATCTATGAATATAGTTAGTATATATGAAGATAAACTGCAGAAAGGAAAGGAAATTTTTTCAAAACAGATTCATTCAAGTTTGTTGACACAGAAAACAATGACATCAGTCTGACCAGTATTCTTAGAGGAAGTCATTTATTTTATGTAAGCAGCTGACATTTAAAGATCTGCTAATGATTTCCACTTCCCATCTGACACATGTTCAATGGTTATCAAGTGAATAATACTAATAACTAATATGTTTTAGTAATTATATTAATAAAGAACAAATGCTGTTGATAATTTAAAGTTCCCACTTATTACAAACAAAAACTATTTCTTTGTTGAAAGTCATCTCTAATCAAGCAATCAATCTGAACTGGCAGCAATAAACCATGATACCTGGGACTTTGGACCTACTAACCCTCTCCAAATTAATATCTGAAACCTGCTAAATTCTTCTACTTTATCTACGCAGATGCTTAGATTAGTATGTCTGCCTTGTGTCAGTCTTTATTTCTAGTTGTGTATTAAAATAGTGTCACTGAGGTACACAGACTAGGTATGCAGACCCAATGATTTTACAACCTCTGCTGATACACTTTTCTTTTTATAAATGAAACAGATCTATCTGCAAATAAGATCTGCAACTAAATTTGTATTGATACCTTTTCTTGAAAAAAATTGTCATCTGAAATACAAAGTGTGGGTTTTTTAAAAAGATTTATTTATTTACACATAATAAATAAAATTTATTTATTTACACAAGAACTAGGGTGCAGGACAGAGAGCATTCACTAGAGACAGAGTGGGGAGCAGAACTGGCAGATCTACTGAAATACACTGCTGAGGGGAGCAGTGGACGAGACAAGAGAGGTTTGCTGTACCATGTGTGTTGGCTCCCTGACTGGGGATGGAACTCATGCTGCAGAGGCTAGCTATAGCTTGACAGCACTGACACTTTAACCTATCAGCTCCATTCAAAATGTTTTAATTTAAGGAAAAATTAATTAACAGTATCAAACATGTATTGCACGCTTACTGTGGGCCAGATTCTATGCTAAGCCCTTTAGCTCTATTTTGTACCATTTATCATTTAACCTTCTCAACTCAATCCTATAAATACTGTTCTTTCTCCATTTTACAAGTAAGTCGATCTAAGTCTCAGAAATGTTAAGTCAATTATCTAAGGTCATACAACAATATGAAAGCTAAGATTCAAAGTCCAGTTCACCTGAATCATGAGTTTCTGTTCTTTCCTGACTCTTAGAGACTATTATAATAGAAAAACGTTCTGATGCCGCACTCTATACAGTAGGATTTCCTGCTATGATGTCATGTCCTATATCTGTGCTAGCCAACAGAGCCACCAGTTAGTCACCTGTGGATAATGCAACTCATATATTGAGGTTTTAATTTTAATTAAAATAACCACATGAGCTAGTGTATTGCTCAGCAAATGTGCTGTTTGAGTTTATAATTTAAGTGTCAAGAGTTGAAGGACATGCTTCTTGTTTAGCAAGAAGTTAAAGTGTGTTCTAATAAATTATTTAGAGAAGTAATTATATTTAAAAGAGCTGACACAGGTTATCTTCTTACACCACTCATCCTACAGAAAGTAGAGTTCACATGGATTTCTCACACTCAGTTACCACAAAACACCATAAAAATACTGCTGTTCTTAAAGCAAATGACTTTGTAGTTTATTTTGGGGACCAGATTCCTACTCATCCTCATGCTGGTGAAAAATTCTTTCCAGGAAAGTTTCTACCAAAGTTGTTTTTATTGGCAGTAGTTCAGATCTCAGAAGAATACAGCAAGTTAAACCAGCCATCTGGATTTATTGTTAGGCTTAGTGCTGAGATGAAAGCATAACACTTATAGTTTAAAGCTAAGCTTTAAAATTTAGCTTAACCTCCTATTATAGGAAAAGAGAGCTTATTTCTTCTATTCATGTTATGACCAAGGGCCTAATGCATATAACAATTAAATAAATACCACATAGTGCAGTATAAATTTGCAGTCAGTTCTTTCATAATTCTGATAAACTCTCTGGAAAAGCTCCATTCTTAGCACCACTAGAAACATCTTTTTTGTTATTGGTGACTTGAATTAGCAAACAGAATTCACCCAGCTAATTTTAAATTACTTGAGAAACTATTTAGAGGAAGTTCCATCAGAGTTTTGACTGCAGCTTAAATGCTTCATAAATTTTCTTTATAAATGTTGAACACACTCATCCTGATGATTCATAAGCAATGCAATTACAATAGTCAAAATTTCCTTGGAAGACAGCGTCTAAAAAGGAAAATGTATCCCTTTTATCAACAGAATCAACAAATAAAAGGACCAATATACAAGGTAAGAGAATGAGAACAGAGAAGAATCTAAGCCCTGATTCTCATTTAATATTTTGACCATGACTTACTCATTAAACAAGTAGTTCAAAAAAATTTTTTTTATATATTAAGCAATGGGGACACAAGGCGACCAAAATAGAGTTCCTGAGCTCAGTGTCTAGAGTTGAACTAAGAAGGCAAAAACTAAGTACACTAAGATGTAAATCCTATCATGATAGGGGAAATAGAGTGTGCTATTGAACTCCACAAGGCTTCCAGAACACAAGAGAAAGAACACAAGACAAAGGAATTCAGCATAAATGTAGCAACTTTAGTAGGTGTGGGTAAGTGGTGAGATAAGACTGGAGAAGGCAATAAGCAGAGAGTGGTTCAGTTACTCCCAGCACAATGAAAAATTATTTTTAAATGGTTCTAGATAGAGGGGATTCCTACAATTTGATTTACAGTTTTTAGAGAGAATGCATTGTGGAAACTGTATGACAGGACAACTGGATATTGTGACACCAGTTGGGGATGAGTTATGGTGGTGGCCTGGACTAGAGATTTCACAGAAGGAATGGAGTTTTCATTTTAATGAAAAGATAAGAGCAACATTTAGGTGTGAGCAAAGATTAGGTGTGTGTTGGGTGGGGGGAGGGAGGATTAGCTGGTGGAGAGGGAAAAATGAGGAGGCATTAAGCCTGGTCCTGTGTAATCTCACTTTATTCTGGATATATTTGATGCAAGTGGATATATTCAAAAGACTACTGTATATATAGGCCTTGTGGTTCAGGGAAAAACCTAGATGGAAACAGATTTGTAATTACGATTTTTTGTTAATGGAAATTACAACTATTAGGAGAATAAACCTCAAAGAGTGTGTATAATAATGAGAGTCTAAAGAGGGAACTCTACCATTTGAGCAGAAGGTGGGAACTCAGTCATTTTAATAGGAGGTATGCCTATTAAAAAACCCAAAAGATGTGGCTGAAGAGGAGATAAGGAGGGGAAAAAAAGGGGGGGTGGGGAATGGTTTTTAGTAACTAGCATGTTCACAGAAGAATGGAACAGTAAACATTTTAAATGGCACAAAGAGGTCAAGCTACAAGAACAACTAAAAATGTTGATTTAACAGTATTTCTCAATTTTCTTCTCATTATTGCATAAGGAGTCTTTTTCAGACTCCCCCTATCAAGTTCCTCCCTCATAAAATTGTTTTTAAATTTTTTTTTTTTAAAGATTTATTTATCCATCCACACAAGAACTGGGGCAGTCAGAAGCGCGGGAAGGTGAGAGAATTCACCAGAGCCAGAGCGGGGAACAGAACAGGCAGACTGATGAAATAGACTGCTGCGGGGAACAGCGGGCACAGCAGGAGAGGTCTGCCATGCCATGTGGGACCCTCGCAGGCGCGGCGGTGGGGTATCAAAACTGCGCTGCAGATGCTGCGGGCAGCTTCGCAGCCCAGCGCTCAACCGCAGCGCCATCAGGGGAGGCCCCCTCATAAAATTTTTATACCACTAAATATATATCTGTATATCTCTGTATGTACTGTAAATATATATGCGAATTAAGAGTATAATTTTGCCTCACAAGCAGCATTTTTAATCCCCACTGAGAATGTATGATTTCATACATAGAGGACATTGATGATCTTAGTAAAAGCAGTTTCAGTGGGAGTTTGCTGAATGTTGGAAACAAGGACCGGGCTAAGAAATAAATATTAGAAAGTAAGCAACAGATATGAAGAGTAGACGATACAGCTATGAAGGGACTGAAAAGATAGGAAAGTAATTGAATGCACTTAGTAAAGTTAAGGCAGAATATTTTTAAGTGCTGAAGGAAAGTGAGGGGAAAGGCTGATGATGTACATAGGCGGGAATAACTGGGGAAAAAAAGGACCCTGAGAAGGTAGAAGAGGCTCATATTGGGAAACAAAGTGAAAAGACTTGTCTTCCCAAAGAAGGGCCACTTTTCACCTTTTAAACAAAAGGAAAGAAGGTTTGTAAATTTGGTTCTAGGAAGATGATAACTTCTATTTAAAAATATTCAGTCTGCAAAGAATTCCAATAGTACACTGTGTTAAATATTCAGACGCACTGTAAAAATCCTACGATTCAGTAAGAAAAGCTAATCTTATTGCAAAGAGTGCTTTCCTGCTAAAGATAAAGTTTCGGGTAGTTCATCATTCCTCCACTTTTCCTAGGTCTGTTCAATGAAAATGTCCTTTTGTTTCAAAAGTAATCCTTCCACTTGTAATTTTGATCCCATTACCTTCTTATTCTACCTACGGCTTATTTCCTCTCTTGAATCTTTAAACACTGGTTATTTTTCTTCTCCCTGAAAACATAACATGCCATTTTCTTTAACACAAACCAACCCCAAACCTTCTGGGACCTTGCCACCCTCAACGATCTTTTCCTTCATTCTCCAAATGAAGGATTAGTCCACAATTGCAGTCTCTCCTCTCAGTAATTGACTCTAAGAGTGGCTCTCTCAAATGGCCCAATGACTTCCTAATCATCAAATCCAACAAGTATTCTCAGACCCCTTTAATCCTTGCAGCATTCCATGTCATTGATAACTTTCCCAAAAGAAAACAAATACTTCTTACTCCGTTACATGAAAATTCACCTATTTTGGGTCTCACTTGAAAGTTTCCAGTTTACTTTTCGAGTCCCCTCCCCCCTTTTATGTTTCTACCATCTGCATCCATGACAGTTTCAAACTCCATACATCCCAAGTTCCATGATATTCCTCCTCCTCCAACTAGGGCACTTCCTCAATCATAACCACGTAGGCTATAAACTTCAATTCAACTCCCATCAGCCACAAGGCTCACTGTCCCACCGCTAACTCCTCAGTGTGGGTTCCCGTCTCCTTTCTTAAGAACTGCAACATCCTTATCACTGTCTTCCCCACACCAGGTTAATCCAGGAGCTAACAAGAAGTCCGCTCAGGTCAGTTAGGGGTTTTGTCCTCCGAAGTCGGTGCTGGGGCTTAGGTTTCAGTCGTCGGTACTCCAGCTAGCTGTGGGTGACAAGACCATTTTCCCACATCGGAGAACAGTGGGGACACGCCAATGAGCTTCAAGTTCTCAGACCTGGAGCCAGAGAACACCGGGCTGCAGGTGCACCGCTGCCTTCAGGCCCTGCTGGCAAGAAAGCCCGGAAGGCCGGGAGCGAGGCGCGGCCCCGATTCACAGCACTGGGGACGCTCCTGCAGCCCAGGTGGAAGTCCGGAACCCCAGCTATTTAGCCTATTCCCCAGTTTTCGAGCCGTCCCCAGTTTGTAGACTCCCCGCCCCTCACACTCACCCCGACACCTGGGCCCGTCAGTGATTCGGCGCCGGGTCCTCTCCGGACCGAAGATGAGGCAGCTGAGAAGGCCGCGAGGACCCCGCAATTGGGGTGCCCAGGATATTGCCTGACTAACAGCTTCAAAGAAACCGACTAGGCAGATAGTATTGGAATGACTAAGCGGGAAGACGTCGAACGAGAAGAAAGACGTCTCTTAAGGTTTACCATCGAAATCCTTCAGCTCGTCTAGCATCTAGAAGAATGGGGGTTTTCGCATCCTCTGGGCTCCGGCGCTCAACCGCAGCCTAACTCCGTCCGGGGTCCCGCTACAGCCGTGTGGGCGGGGTCAGGAGAGGACTGTGCATTACCAGGGGGCGGGGCCTAGATAGAGGGCCAATGGCTGTGGACGGGAGCGGCACGGACTGGGCGGAGTCTGGGGGCGGGGCCCGGAGGAATCGAGGCCATGTGGCGAGGAGGGGGCGGGGTCAGAAAGCCAAGGGGGTGGGGCGCGAGCTGGGTCCAAAGTAGGGCGGGAGCGTGAAGATGGCAGCCGCTGAGGAGGAACCGAAGCCCAAAAAGCAGAAGGTGGAGGCTCCGCGAGCGCTGAGGTGAGCGCTACCCGACCTAGGGTGGAGGGTGACGGCGCCTGCCATTAACCAGACCCCACGTGGGTTGCATGGCCCCGGCGGTGGGTGGTGTCCTCGGTGCCGGCGTGGGGCCAACGCGCAGGATCCGCAGCTACGGGAGCTGCCGGCATGGCTTCTGTCCCTTGCTCGCAGCGCGCCGGGTCTGTCTGACCGAGTAGCGGTCCGCTCGGAGCTGCTCCGGACACTCTTGACCAATCAGAGCGCTGGACGGAGAGGGGCCGTGCCCGCTGTGGGCTGCTGCGGGCGCCACGTGGGAGCCAGCTCCGGCTGCGCTGCTGCGACCCGGGAGGACCGCACCGGAGGAGAGTCATACTCGGTCACCCTCTCTTTCCTGGGGGATAACGAGGAGGAGGCCGAGAGAATGCTCTACCCTGAGGCAAAGACAGAATTTTTGGATATTATTTTGTAAAGTGTTGCGGGAGGGCTCCTTGACCTGGTCCGTGCGCACCCTGAAAGTTGACACCTTTGAGCCCCCAGATCCCGCCTCCGAGGCTTGGCGCCGGCGGCTTTTGGCTGAATGATAGGAAAGGTTGAGTTTTCTTTGCACTTTTTGGTTAGGCTGGAGACATTTCCGCCCCTAGCACCTGCCTCACATGTAGTTGATCGCAACTTTACTTAGGAAAGTTTTTTTTGTTAAAATAATTCCTTCCTAGTAAGTGTTAAGTGCAGCCTGCACAGTCCTTGATGATTTTGAAATGTTCCTTGGAAGGCAGTAATTTTCTATCTAAAAATAGATGTATCAAACTGATTTAAAACTATTGGGAACTCGTCGTTTCTTCCTGCTTCGCCTTTCTTCATGAAAGAATGAATCATTCACAACTGAAGAGAAAAGGTCATTGAGGGGCCTGGTGGTGTGTTCATGTTGTTTTGAATACCTGTCAGTTCCTTCAGTGTATTCTCATTACCTTCAAAGGGGTAGGGTACCTACTTTATGAAAGGTCCATGCATTGCGGCCTCCTGCATGGACCTTTCACTTTATACCTAGAAAAAAAACCTTACTTTTTAATAACTCAGGATGTTTTATTTTTATTTTAAGCTTTCAAACTGTATTTGGAGTAAAGCAAGAGTTTTTGAATCAGACCTACTTGAGTTCAAGGCATGTGCTTTCCTTTCTCAGCCCATTATTAATTTCCTTAAAAGGCACCTCCTTCACAAAGCTCACTCTCCCAGACTGGAAGACAGATGCAATTTTTTCCTACCATCCTGGTAATCATACAGCTCTTAGATTTTCCTATGCTGATGTATTTTCAGAGCTCTTTTCCTATTTACAGATGAGTGATTGAAGCCCAAATGAAACAGTTAAGAAACTGAAATGTGAACTCAGAGCATCTAGGTAGTAGATTGTTGTGCCATCAGTTGTGCCAACTTTTATACAGTTACCTAAGTTGTGATTCTCTCCTTATGCATTAAAAAATTAATAACTATAAAAAATATGTTTGATACTTAGGTGTGTGTGTGCTAAGGATTGTTTCAGCACTTTACTTATTTTAAGTCATTTAGTCCCATAACTCCACAAGGTACATAATAAAATTGTCTCCATTTCACCAATATAGAAACAGGCTCTGAAAGGTTAAGTTACTTGATCAAGGTCACCTATCTAATAAGTGATGGGATTCAGGTTTTAATTCAAGTATTCTGATTCCAAGTTTGTATTTGTAATACCATGCTATATTTATGTCAAGCAAAATGTTAAAAAATCCTAGTGAACTGTTAACTCAGTTTTTGTTTCTCTACTCTTTTTTAATTTTATATATTTTTTAAAGATTTATTTGATTTATTTATGCAGAAAAGAACTGGGGTGTAGGCCAGAGGTGCAGGGGGGTGAGAGGATTCACCAGAGACAGAGTGGGGAGAAGAACAGGCAGATCTACTGAAAATACACTGGCCAGGCCATCACAGTGGTAGCACTGAGAATTAACCTGTAGGCCACTAGGTTTGGTTTTGCTCTGTTTAGTATACATAAATTTGTCTATTGCTGCAATATACTGGCCTATGATACATAATAATTTTTACTTACAATATATTTCATATGTAATTAGTATCTGTTTAAAACTTGTAAGTCCTTAGGCAACTAAAACTCATTTTATGCAATACCTAGTATCACATGTGGATATGAAGTTAAATGATCAGCCATTTGAGTACTGGGACAAATGTAATTTTGTGTGAAGACACTTTGGGAGTGACTGCTATTTTCATTATATCAGTTTGGCTTGCAGGGTTGCAGCATGATAATGCACTTTGTGTTTAGACTGTGCATTTGGATGGCTTGCTTGGCAGCTAAGGGGCTAGCTACCCGTTTGAGTAACTTTTTTTTTTAAGATTCATTTTTATTTATTTATGCATACAAGAACTGGGGTGTAGGCTAGAGGTGGGGGGTAGGGGGTGAGAAGATTCATCAGAGACAGAGGGAGGAGCAGAACAGGTGATCTCCTGATAGACACTGCTGAGGGGAGCTGTGGGAGAGACAGGAAAGGTCTGCTGCTCCATATGTGGATTAGTTTCCTGGCCAGGGATCAAAGTCATGCTGCAATGGCTGGTGATATCTTGATAGTGCTGAGACTTTAACCCCTGTGCCACCAGGGAGGCCAAAAGTTTTGGTTAACTTTTGAGAAGAATGGCTTGTATGGTCATAATTTGATGTGTAGAATCAGTCAGTGGGAACAAATAAATTTATGAGACTTTTGTAGGTATTAGGGAAAGCACTTAGGGCTTTGTTAGAAGTTCAGTTAGCTCTACAGTAATAGTTCTCAATCAGGGGGAATTCCCTCCCTCCTCACCCACTCTTTCCCTCCCGCCTCCACACACCACCAAGAGACATTTGGCAATGTCTGGAGACAGTTTTGTTGGGAGTGCTACTTGTACCTATAGGGTGGAGTTCAAGAAAGCTGCTAAACATTCTGCAATGCACAGGAAACTACCATGCACAGAATTATGTGACCAAAATGGATAATAGTGTTGAGAATGAAAAAAGTGTTCTAGGGAAGAACATCTGACAAATCTAGCCTTCCTTTCTCAAATAGTCATTATTTTTCTAGACTGGATTGCATTTCAGAGGCTGTAGCAGTTACTAAAATTACAATGAAATATTGGGTAGGGAAACAGAAAGGAACATTGAGTGCCTGGCATTATAGTAGATGCTTTCTATATGCTATCTCATTTAACTTTCCCTTTGATCAGTGAGGTAGGAGCGATGATAGCTGTGTTACAGAGGAGGTATTTAGGGCTGAAAGAAGTCAAGAGACATTTTGGGGACTGTTCCCTAGTTGAAGAGGTTCTATAATTACCTATATTTAGGGCCACTTAGTTTTCTTTTTGGAAATCCCATGCAAGTTCATCTCTTTAGCAGTTAACCTCTAAGAGGATAGTTTCTTCCAAGACTTGGTGAACACATGCCATGTCTATTCTTTTAGGCAGTCTTTCAAGTTCCTGCTATTTTAGACATGGTGCTAAAAATAAGGCAGGTACATATAGAGTGGTAAGACCCAGATGCCATGTGGAAATAAATAGAATTTGGGAAAATGATACCTGAGCATTCTGAAAAATAATAAGGCATCAAAGAGGGGATGAAGTAGAATGTCTGACTTTATAGAAAATTTTGTTTGGAGGTCGAGATCTACCTCTGTTGGGGAAGAACACATGGTTTTATCTAAAAGAAACAGACAATGTATAGGGGGCCCAGGCTTTCTACTGAAGACTTTCACAGTTGTGGTATTTCCCTCTCTTTATCCTTCAGGCCTAGACTGAGTAGTAACATTGGGTGAGACATGAAGCTGATGTGCTTCTTTCTATCTGGAATATGGCTCTACTTCCCTTCCATTGATTAAAATCCTGACTGTGCAAAATATTCACAGTTAGGAGAAAAAAGGAGAAATATTCAAAATTATAAAGAACTTTCTGGTTAAGATGAAAGATTCTGGTTACAAGTATGGTCTCTGGAATCAAATATCTGGTGTCATTCTTTGTCTTAGTTAACTGGTATACTTGGGAGGAGTGCTAATTGACGATGTGCCTCTGTTTTCTCAACTATAAATTGAGTATTTTAATGGTATTTACCTGAAAAGATTGTTGAAGAAATTTCATGAGAAAATAAATGTAAAATAAATGTAAAAGCTATTATTATTTTGGTACTGTTTGGCCTGCATTGGCTCCCTGCTTTGCTTAAAACACAGCAATTACAAATTAAAAGAAAAAAATGAAAATATCTAGCTATAGTCAAGAACGAGATAAACATCCCCAGAGACTAACATAGAAAGGAAATATGCGTTAGACTGTAGGTTCAGGAACTGGTGGAAATAGCTCTACTCAGGTGAGATGGAATCAGATATACCACATGAAAACAGGGACCTGGGGTATGGCTGAATGAAAAGAATGCTGATGTCTCCGCTACTGGCTGTTGCTTTAAAAAGCTGGATCTGAAGTGACATAGCAGTAGCTGAGCTGCCAGATGGCTCAGAGTTGGGAACTGTAATTTCCCCACTATCATTTAGTACAACACAAAACTTCAAGGTCATGGGCTCCGGGGACGGGGTGGCTTACCTCAAAATCTCTGGAAAAGGAGGGAACGTCTGAGCC